ACGACTTTTAAATTTTAGCTAACTCAACATTAATGTTAATTTATAAATGCTTTTTCTTGAGAAATAGCTAATACAATGATTGAACATTGGAGCTATTAGTATAAGAATCCAAATGTAGTCGATAACAGCTTTTACTAAGTGCTTTATAAGAGTATTATAAATTAAGTGAATACAAATTTCGGTTCAATAAAAATCTAAGCTATCAAAGTGAAAGTATGTTGCAAGAATCATGATGATTTTTTTGTTTGAATGTGAATTCTCTATCTGTTATGGTTGCTTTAATAATCATTGGCTTTTCGTACGAATTAAAAAGTTTTATTGTAACTAATAGTTTTAAATACAACTGATGAATACTGTTTCATAATTTATCATTAATTCATAGTAAAATTTAAGTAATCAAGTTACTCCGTTAAATAATTATGATCTCGTCATCTTTCCTATATAGCTCTCACGCACACATTTTTTTAACCTTTCAAAATCTATCTAAGAAAATAATGTGGTTTTCGGATTTTCTCGATTTTTAAATCTTGGTACAGTAACCATTTTATTTACTTTATTGCCTATCGTTTTTTGACTTGCAAGTCTTTCTATTTCTGATTTCACTTGATTTTTATATATTATTAACACTGGTTCTATCGATCAAGCGTGATATAAACTATCATATCCAATACATTTATATAGCGCCTATATTCCAGCTCCTTTCTTTATACATCAGGAGAAGGCTTAATTCTACCTAATCATTCATCCATATCACGGTCAATACTATTTACAACTATATTTCCATACAGGATTAAATATCAAAACTGTTTCTTACTTACTCTCTTAGATTCTACATAAAGCATTTTTATTCGTATCCAGCCACGTTAAATTGATATACTGCTGTCTATGAATGAAAACTAGAGATAAATATTTTATACATCGTTCGATAAATCGCAGTTTCAGATATCTTAAGGGCTAACATGAGTACTATATTTTAGCTTTCATCATCAACCAATCAACACTTACTGCTTAAAGATATATAGGAATATCTATAAGTATATCTGTTGTAAAGAATTATTTCATTGCATTATAATTTATGCAAACTCCATATTAAACAATTTGTTTCAATTTTATTTAAAATTATTGTTATATAATTATTCTTGTTGACTACTTCAAACATTGAGGGCAATAATTATACTAAATCAGTGTTGATAAGAAGCGGATGAAAAATATACCAGTTTTCAGATAATCATTTTGATTTCTGCCATGTGACTTTCAACGTTTTTAATTATCATAAATTAACGCAAATTTTTCGATATATTTAGCTAGAAAATTAATGTAAGCATGTAGGTAACTTGGCTTTGTGTGTATGACCAACAGCTTTCACAATCGCCATTGTGTCGATATTTTATTTATAAATTCTTAAGTAGATATCAGTATAGAACGATTGGGTGGTGTGCGAGTTGCCCTAATATAAAAACAAACGAATTTCGATAATCATAACTATAAAGGGCAAGCATCTGTTCTGAATAGTTAATTAAGAACCCATATAACATCATTTTTAGTGGCTTAACCATTAGTACTAGAAATCATTGATAAAAAGTATTTATTAAAATGATATACTAATGGTAATTACTATCCATAAATCATTGATTAGATGTTTAAGCTAGAGACGAATAGATTACTTTGTTTCTTTATCTAATGGAAAGCTACCACACCATTCAATAGTACGGACTGCATTTATGCTAATATTTTGACCTTGGTGACTCATTAAAGTAATATAAGCGTCTACTTTTAAAATCTTTACAAATTATCAACATAGGCACATATATCATATAACTTTCGCAAAAGTAAGAAGCAGTAAAAGCAGTATACACTCATAAAATACAAGATTATAAGCTTTAACGTTGCGGTATTAAAGTATTGTAACTACTTAAACGATTCCCGGTTTCGATCGATTCTAAATACCTATATATATATATATATAATTAATAGTATAGATACTTTTACTATTTAGCTGCAAAAGCTAGTGTTTAACCAAGAAAAAGAATACATTTGCAGTTTCATATGACTTCAAAGCGATGGTATAGCTTGCGATAGAGCTATAAAGATAGTCGCGTTTATTATAATAGGTACTTTTTCTGAATAAGAAGATAAAATCTATAAGACCGCTTTTGGTAACTTTCCTAATTATTCCAGCACATCTGCTAACTGTGCTATAAGTAGGTACGTTTATCTTTGATTAACCATCCATAACCATTATACTTCCTTGCTTCTACTTATCTAAGGACAATAATCAATAGAAGAAGTTTTACTTCTACAAAACAATCTATAGAAATAAGAACACAACAGTATCTATTAATAGATAATAGCTCCATTGAATGCCTGTTATATTGGCAGGCGAAAATTAATAACATTTCCATTTACCATCAACAATTCACTGACTGTATTGATAACTTATTCCTTCTATACTAATCATTATAACCAAGATGTTAAAATGGAACAGCTTTTAAATTCCAATGCTTGTCATATTGAATACTTTTCATACCTTTATCAAAAGGACAATCAATACAACTGCTTGTAACGACTGAATTAAATCCTATATTATCCAACATACGGTATGCTTCAATTGAGGCGTAAAGAATCATCATATAATAGTTTTACAATTTAAGACTAATAAATTGTCTTTAGAAATTTTTGTTTCATGATAGGCCATTAATATTCTCTCAATTTTTGATAAAATTGATCTCCTTGTATGCATTTTCTTTCTCATTTCATCGAATGTTGAATTATTAACCACCTCGAACTATATTTTAACGTATTATAAAATAATCATTCCTAGTTTTATAAATAATTCTTCTCACACTTATTTTTTAAATCGTAGCTTTTCTATTATTGATTATTAGGGAAATACGAAAATTTCCCAAGTAAATATTACGCCTTTGAGAACAAAGAGTGTATAATATCAATGCATGTTACAAAGTCGTTCACTTAAAACATCGTTAACTACAAATGATGATACGGCTGATAGAATATTGATTTAATTTTAAAGTCTCTATTTCATTAATCAAAACTTTACGTAATAAACTCTGAAGATGTTACTTATCATTCGAAAATGATTATTTGGAAAGACCTACACAATAGCAAGAACTCCTCTTAAAAAAATTTCTATTTGTATATCTACGACCTTCATTTAAGTATTTATGAATGTATATATATATATATAACATATACATGTATCCCATCAAATTATTAATATATTTTTAAACATTTATCTCATAATAAACAATGTAAATATCATATAGTATTTATAATCAAAAGTTTCGCTACCGTGTATTCGGTCGATTGAGAACAAATTGAAAAGATAGATTTGAGGCTTTATTGATTGTTACGTCAGCAGAAATAAAGTAGTATGATTGATGGTTGGATAACAGTTGGGTGGTGCTTGATGTATATCTACACAGTTTAATATGTTAATAGTAAACAGACTATTAATATCAAATCTTTCCTAAAACAATAGAGTGTTGTGTTGATCATCAAGATTGCACCTTTGATTAAGTAAAACTCCTGGGTTAGAGTGTTTACGCTCATTCTGGTCACTAGCAAGCCAAGGATTAAACGAAAGAAAAAAGGGATCTAAGAGATTTCATCAAAACTTCAAAATTGTTTTATTTTCTGACTCCTGACGGTAATACTGATTCAAACTTCCTACTAAAATAATATTTCTCCATCGCTATGCTTATTATTAATGGTTCAGTAAAATACATATAGAGTGATAATAATTACATCATTTTAACTTCTACTTTTCCTTGCTGATGATCTGATATTGATCATTGCACATAAATAGCATTCGCGTGCTATCAATTTAGCTAGTCTAATCGACCATTAACATAAATCTGATCGTTATAATACGATATATATAGAAGGTTATTATATCCTTTCTATTCATGTAAGTATAATCAATAAAAAATTAGTTGATAATTTGTATACAGATATTCATGGATGCAATAGTCAATAAAATTTTTCTCTTACTTTTATTTCTCGAAACTTCTCAGAAGACTAAGGGATGTCCTTTCTATCATTTTTGTCAATTTTAAGTCCAGATCTAATATAAATGACACAAGTTTCTGTAATTAGAGGATAACTACTTTTTTGCTCTAATAGACTAGTAAATGTGCCTTTTAAATAATCCGGTATAGCTTGTACTATAACAACAAGCCTTTATTCTTGTATTATAAAAGAGGATATCATCAATTTTTCATTCATTTCAACTTAGCACGCTAGTATTAACGATCAATTTATTTCTCTTGCGTTTCGATTAGATATGGATATGAGCCTACTTCCAATGCAAATGTATAACTGCGATCCTATTATGCAAAGATTATCCAGTTTCGATACTGTCAAATTTGCTTACGAAATTCCTAACGGTAAGATCCTTTCGATGCAGAAGATACTAATCTCAATAATCATCACTTTAATGATATGCATATTTATGGTTTATGCTAACTGATAAAGTGTCTAGTGATATTGAAGCAAAAAGTGTGCTAATTGTAATAAGCGCTGCTAACAGATCGAAAAAATAATTAAAAGTTTAGATAATATTTATTTCATAAACAAAGAACTATTTCAAGGAATACTACTTACAGCATCTAGTTCTTGGGGGCTGAAATTGATAGACTAACATTACATTTGATTTACCATTTCTACATTATTTTGCTGACCTTGCTATAATATTCAATTATCTTTAATTAAAATATCGTAATAGTTATGCGAGTTTATCATTAAAGTTTTACTATAAATAAACCTTAGCCTTTCAATTCATCCAATGTAAATAAAATATCCATCAAATATGTTTATTATTGCTATTCGTTTACGATAGTCGCTACAACTTCATTAAAGTTATAAAGTGTTACATATTTCTTTGATAAAATTTAACTCTTACTTTTATTGATTACAGTTATTCATGAATTTAATTTATTTTTTTGGAATAGTTATTAATTCAATCTCCCATTCATATATTAGATCCACGAAATTGGACACAGGCTCACGTAAAGCAATGGTTATTGTGGTCGATTGATGAATTTAATTTTAACGATTTATCAACTAATAATTTCGAAATGAACGGCAAACAATTATGTCAATTAAGAAGATGTGATTTAATGGCTCTATCGCTACCCACGCCATTTGCGGGAGATATCTTGTACAAGCATTTGCAACTATTGATTGAGGACAGCAATCGAGAAATATTAGAGAAATCGGCACCTCATCTTAATTCAGGTTAGTACGTATAAATAGCAGTAGAGGATGTTTTTAACAGTTCCTGATTATTCTATTTTATTTAGAGGAGGATGATTAAGAGGATATACTCTATATCTAATTATTAACATTTACAGTTAAAATCGGCATTCAACGATAATACTTACATGATCATAATTAACAAATATGTTGAGTTGGTTTGTCGATGTTTTCCTTAGTACTAATTAATTGTTGGCAAGCGTCGATTCTTTCCCTACATTTTACTTTAAGTTCTACTTTCAGCCATTTCAGTACCTTATCTATATAATAGATGGAATTATTGATAGTTTCCAGACTAAAATACACCGTTGGAAGTTATACAAAAAAAATGATTTGTTTCCATGCATAAGCTAATCCACGGCACAAAGTCTTTCGTCTTAATCAAATAATTAACCTGTTATAAATTGGTTTGAATACAATCAGTTAATAATTTTGCATGTATTTCATGAATCGCCAAAACGAAATAGCACAGTATTTATTCCTGCTTGATAGCCCCTGTATTAAAGTACTTATTGTGCCAAGTATCATGCTTGATATTATATTACTGTATTGATTGCTCTTTGTGCTCTATATATTCAATCTATTCAATGTATCTTATTTGCAACAGTCCGACTCCGGTAATATCCAAACGTGCAAAGTCATTAGTTAGATTTAATATTCTATATTTTTACACCATTATATTGTTAAGATACCTTCCTGTTGATAGCTGTTCGGAAATTATATTACCCACACAACAAGTAATTCATTGATTTTCTTCATCTACATCCATAAATTAACCCTGTTAATTTATTAATTCCTTTATTTCTGTTTTTACTTCTCCACTATAAACCGGTATTGTACTGTTATAGTTCTCTAAATCAATAGAAGACTATCTAGATAGAATTCCATGTTGGCCACGTTTATTCTAATCTTGATAGCAAATTTACTCTCTCAAACTTTATTCTAATCAAATAGCAACCGCACGTTTATGATATATTCATAAATAGATAACATTATAAGAGTTAATAGGATCAATTAAGGCAAAACAGTAACAATTTTCTCTTCGTGCCCCCAAAAAAATCTCATTAGCTACAACGGAAAATGGTTAAATTAAAGCGCTAAGAAAATTCCTGCTTATGTTTTAAAATCCATATAAAAGTCAACAATATATATTTATAATATCCTTTCCATTATCTGTCATTTATGGTAATAAATGTAATGTGTAAGCTGCAATAGTTTGCCATGGCAAATTTTTATAGTGACGGCCAGAATGTAGATAATGTCCTTCCTGGTCATGGAATGCATTCGTTATAGTCATAAAGTTATCATTATTTGTAATGTTCAATCATTCATGTCGAAAATTAACAATGGCGGTAATGAACTTTTATAAATTTATCCTGTACTCAATATAGAGACAAACCACAATGCAATTTTCCAAATAGCCTAGTTATACGGGATAGCAAAATTACCAATAATACAATCCATCATCCACACCAACTAACTAAAAATAATGCTGTAATTTATCAAATTTGCTAAATGTAGTACCCATTAATAATGTAATTCATCCATCAAGGATTTTAACGATATTTTCAAGTGTTGTTTGCTTTACTATCAAAGCAACTAACATGAATGGTACCAGAAATTTGCACGATTAGCTATTAACACTATGAAATGCGCTAATAATAATTATTCTCAGTATTTAAATTATCAAAGATTAGATTAATTTACTTTCGATGATCCTCATAAAATATCACACGATATGATTACTTATCATCTAATGCATGATTAGGAATTAAATACAAAAATAAAATATTTTCAATCTAATCTTTGCCTTACCTGTCCTAATCGATAATTTATTGATAAATAATTTAGCCTAAAAACAACACTGATAAGCTACTATATTTTATCAATCATTCTCTACTGGATTATAGCTAATCTTAAACGTTTTAAACTAACATAATATAAAATGCCTGGATATTCAAAGCGATAGGTTAATACTGTATTAATTAGTGATTTATTTTACAGTAAGGCAAGGCAATCAAGGTTGTCTCAAGTCCATCGATGTCAATCAACATTATGGAGGCCGTATTGTAGCCTGGGAAGCGGATTCTATAGGTAAATAATATTTTTGGATTGTCATGAAGCGATTAAAAAAACATAATGCTGCTATTACTATGGTTATTATACAAACTGTAAGTTACTACAAGTTAAAAATTGCCAAGTTATAGTTTAAGATAAATAAGAACGCTTCTTTAGATGATCCATTTTATTATTTCTACTTTTTTACGACCTGAATACATGAGTTCAAAAATTTTTTTTATCTCAATATTTAACAGTATTTTTATCATCCGAGTGGATAATATTTCAGTTTTAAATTTGAGTATTAGCCAATTTTACTACTTAGGATAAAAGTGTAAATTATCCCTTTTAAATATTGTTTATATCCGTATCTCTTGAAATATTACAATCATTCTTAGTTATAGAACTCCATCGAGAGCTTTTCGTGGTTATCATCTTAATCTATTTGCTAGTATCCAGATTGGTAATACATTGCCTAGATTACCGTTCTAAAAAACCTCCAAAACTGAAATATAGTATTTTAACTCCATAAGTAAGCAGATACTAGTTTTATCTATAAACAGTACCTTAATCATTAACTAAACATTGCTAGAGACGAATTGAATTTAGTCACAATTTTATCTTACGTTCCAGTTTCTGTAGGTTTTGGCTTTCCTTATTTACTTTGAACAAGTTACAAAAAATTTTAATTATTGTGACTTTACGATTAAAATTGTTCGATGCATCGCTTTAAGTAATTTCTTCTAATTAGTCTACGATTGCAAGGTCATTAAATATAAAGTTTTTGTAGCGGCGTAATGTATACGAGTATTTTAAAAATTTCTCAACATTCCTAACGATAAATCAATAAGGATACGCTATAACTTAGAATTATTATTTGCGGTTATATTTTTAGTAGTCAAATTCAGTTATTGTATAGAAATAACTCTGTAATATTTACTTTTAACGCCGGATTTTAATTGTTATATTTGTAACAGTTAAAGTAGTACTTCCACTGATGAAATATTTACAATTTACAGTATATTGGATTAGAAAAAAACTCTAATGACTTGTTTATTCTTATCCTTTATCGTAATTTCTAACTTATGGAAAATAAAACAAAATTATTACGTTTGAAATAACAATCAATACCCATTTTACACGTATTAAAAGGTAATTTAACAGCCAGCAGAGCAAGCCAAAATTTTTCTCTTCCCGGTATGCCTTTATCTCATATAAATTCTAAATATAAACACGACGTCCACGCTAATGTATTGGCATCATTTACAGGTAAAGATATTTAATTCTCCTTTAATAAAGCATTAAACAATTTTTTTAACTTATGATCAGCATGAAATAGAGTTCATTCGAAAATGTTAGATGCTTATTTATGGTTTTTTGAATTAAATTTAGCGACACTTACAGATCTAGAAATATTAGCGTTATGAATAACTTTACATTAAAACGTTAGAGAAAGAGCAGAAATTACTTTAAAATATTAGTTGTGTAAAAATACTGGGATATAAAGTATAGAGTTAAGTATACGTATCCTGGAAGAACAGTCTTTTGACTATTTCATTGTTTATTATCATAAAATTTTATTAAAATAACCAGGTAGTACAATAGATGCAGAATGTTACTCACTCATGATATGATTAAGATGGTCCTAATCGGATTTTCGAAAGCTAACGTTAGCGTTAGTTAAATCAATCTTATTCTTATTACCGTTATCATTAATAGGCAATGGTCCTATTCAACTATGGCAATTTCTACTAGATTTGTTAACGGATAAATTACAAATGGGTTCACCTTGCATCGCGTGGACTGGCGATGACTGGGAGTTCAAGTTACTAGATCCAGATCGAGTAGCCGAACTTTGGGGTCGTCGTAAAAATAAGCCAAATATGAATTATGAAAAATTAAGTCGAGGACTTCGATATTATTACGACAAGCATATTATTAAGAAGGTCTTTATTAAATAGATTGTAAAACGACAATAGCGCTTATAAAATTGATAGATATTAAATCTTACAACGCTTTTGATTTAGAGATGAGACGATCTGTGTTACCCAATCATTGACTTAAATTTTTACTGCACTCTTGTTTAGGTGGCTGGTGAAAGATATGTTTATAAATTTGTCTGTGATCTATCACGAATTATCGGTTATAAGCCGGAAGATGTCCACAACTACGTTGGCTTAGTTATTTCCAGAACTGGCGAAATCAGACATCTACCTTTAATATCACATTTTGAATCAATACCGAGTGGAGATAGAATCATGTAACACCAGCATGAAATAAATCACCTTTCAAGTCTGGAAACAACAAAAAACTTGACGCATGCAACTTGTATCTACTGCATACAGCCATAATGAAAGAGAACTGATGCATCCTTTGGATAGCCTGACGATACAAAAATTAAAGTGGTACTTGCAATATACATACGGTGTTTAGAAAATAACTAAAGGCATAAACTGTAATCTACTCTTGGAATAGTAATTTAGATTAGTTTAAGCTAATATTTCAATTTCTATTGCTTTCAATATCATTCTCAATCTTAACCAATTAAGAATATTAGCAGACTGGCTATAACAATGTAATACGCACGTATTGATTGTAAATCTCTTGTAATAACTTGTGATATACAATTTAGTTACATACGGCTATATTATAAAGACAACTTTGGCAAGTATGCTAGTATTTATATATATATATCTATTTAGATATAAATATATATGTTGTGTACATCTTTATTTATAAGACAATGCTGGAAGCATTGTTCAAACTTGATATTTATTATCCATGTGGTATATTACTGGTATTAAGCGATATTTAATTCTATGTAGTTTTGAGTCAATACGTGGGGAAATTAGGCTTTGTAACTGTGAGGTATAGTTCTTACACGTTAAAAATTATGAATTTATTTTCCGATGTCAGCCTGAAGCATAATGAAGTGTAGCCAAATAGCTGACTAATGGCAATTTTTAGAGAACAGACTTGTATTTCAGATTTATCATTTCGATTTCGAGGTAAAATTGTCACTAATAGTGATAATGGCTTATAGAAGTACAGTAAGTTCATCATTATTACTTCAAAGATTATTTCATTCGTTTTTTGTCGTATATTTTATTGAAACTTTTACACCACTAATTCAATATTGCTATGCTATATGATTCATTCTTATGGTTAATTAAGTAGTATATTAACAAATAAGTTAGCAGGATTCTTTATATAGTTTACGCAACTACTCTCTTTGCCGCATATAGTGCGCTGTAGTAAATATCGTAGTAATAATTGCATGTATGATGGTGACTGACGGTCTGCTCAATATGCAGCTCCGGTTTTATGGTCCATTTAAGATATTCTACTATACATAATTAAAATAGTTTATGTCGTTGTTAGTAATAATATTATCCTGTCATGGTATTATATTTCATCTCATTAAGAGACTTGAATTATCTTATCCCTCAGATTAATGTTTGTTTCCCTGGGTATAACAATTGCGTTAGCAATTTCATGTCTAGCTATAAGGATGGAAACTATGAAGCTGCGAATTATGAAGTATAAATATATATATATGTACTTATCTATTAAAAGTTACATGACCATTTCAAATGAATTTTATCAAATACTAATTACTTAAATTAGCAGATATTATTCACATGAATATTCTTATTATAATGTTTCAAATTAAGATTTATTTGTCACTGTGAAAGTACAGGTGTTTTATGGATTTGCTGGTGTTAAGTGTAATAAAGAATGCAAAAATAATACAGAATTTCTGATTACTGGCGTAGTCTATTCGTAATCATCAACTCAACTTCATTATCAACACAAGCTCGATAGAGCTGAACTCGTGGTTAAAGAATAAATACCTGCGATCATAGATGTGCAAGCAATTTGAATTTTGACTCTTATTCGAGATTTACCTATCTTTCACAGGAGTGAAGGTTTATACTACTCGTAAAAACCAACTTTATTGTATGCAGTATATAAGCACTTGATAATGTGCAAGAGTCAGTTTCAAACAGTGTACAGCACTCCCTGTAGTCTGCTGCATATTAAAGGCCATATTTCGGAGTTTTGTTTTGTAGTTTTCATAGTCTGATCAAATTTTACAACATTTTATAGCGTTAATTCTCGAAAGGAGATTGTATTTACTTTAGCTATGGAATAGGCTAAGGATGCTGTATACGTTACTATTTGTAAGCGTTTAAGATCTCACTTAAGAAATTAGCTTTGCTATACGGAAGGTAAAATGATTTTAGCGTGATTTTTCGATCCCGTCTGCCCATTCAACTACGGTATGTCTTGCATCTTGGATCCCCCCAAAAATGGTAGTATAACAGTGAAGTAAGTATCATGCTTTGATATCAACAATTAAATAACTCTTGCATACATGGATTTGTAAGAGCAATAAGGTTATGAGTCATAGTTTATTAGCAATGCGACAGGTTATAAGGCTAGTAATATTGAATATCATATATTAGCTAACCTATGAATAAATAGAGATAGAACAACATCGATATAGCATTCTGTTCCTTTATCAGCTCTAGCATACTCTGCTAAATGTGTGAAACTCGCTACCTACTGTTGTCTTCTTCTCGATCCAATTCAACCTATTCCTTCTCCTCTAGCAGTTACTAGCATTCCTCATTGTTGCCTAAATACAAATCATATTACAATATTGTCGCCATTGGCTTGCAGCCTAGTTATCCGAGCCTAAACTCTCCATAGCAAGAAAACACTTATCAGACCTTATATTGCCTAGACTGTTTCGTGCTGACACGTTCACATTAGCTAGGGAAATGTCATGAACAGTAAATGTAGATCTAATGCGAATCCTACCTTATTATACGCACAAAATACAAGTAAGTATTCTCCCAAGCTCCGAGCAATTACTGATAAATCATACCATGTGCTGTATATACCCGTACCATATATGTAGAATTGTTGCTCTCCACAATGAAGGAGGCTAAAATAATTTGGTGGAAAATGGAATAAGTTTATTAAAATGTCGAGAATGAAAGAAGATAAGTTATAACTTATAGGTCACAGCTCAACCGCAGAGTATAGCTTAACATGGAGGTCATAGACTATCTACGAATACTGATATGTAGTATACATGCTGTACCATGGACTACTCCATCTCTCGAGGAATTCTGAAGTAATCTATCGTGCCTGTACAAAGTCGCGATACTTTGGTTTGCAACGCTCTTGATTGCATTTTATCCACAATGCAAATCTCTGCTATTTATGTGCTACGATATACATAGAACTGTATTTGACATGATTCATTTCACCATGACATGAAGGCAATAGCATACCTACCAATTTGAAATAGTACCATGCTGTACCATCTTTCCAGGGATTATGGAGTAGTCCATGACTGCATGAAATCGATATTTTGTGTTGGAAATTGGAAGACGATTGGATTTTGTCCATAATACAAATCCCAGCTATTGAGCGCCACGACATCAATCATTTTCACGATGGCATGGAGGCAATAGCAAACCTACCAATATGCAGTAACACCATGTTACACCTGAACTACTAAATCTTTTCAAAGATTATAACAGTAGTGCCATGCTACACCATGGACTACTCAATCTTTTCAGAGATCCTTGAGTAGTCCATTACTGTACAAAATCGATACTTTGCGTTGGAATACAAGTGATTGCATTTTGTCCATAATATAAATCACTGCTATTCTGCGTCATGACATAGAGCCGTATTGGACATTAGACATTTTCATAATTACATGGAGGCAATAGCCTATCAACGACTCTGTAGTAGTTTCATGGACTACTCAATCTTTTCAGAGATTCTTGAGCAGTTCATTACTGAACAAAATTGATACTTTAGGTTGGAATAATATTGATTGCATTTTGTCCACAATGTAAATCACTGCTATTGTGCGCCACGGCATTAGTTATTTTAACAACGACATGGAGGCAATTGCCTATCTAAGAATAGGCAACAGTATCTCGCTGTCCCATGGATTACTCAATCTTTCAAGAGATTATTGATATGAACAAGTCGTTCTACTGTATAGTAATAATGGCACTCAGTTTTATTTATTTTTGAATACTTAAAGTTTATTTTTTAAATATTCCAGCAAGGAATATTAGATCTGTTCTTATCCATTTTTTCCAGTATTCTAATGCTAATGACATGATGTGCAACATACAATACTTGTATCGAGTATTTATATTAAAGCTCAGTGACTTGGAACAACGTTTCAATTAGCCTGCAGTATCCGCTTTATTGCTTCTCTTCGTGATCGAGAAATAAAGCAATACATGTACTGCGGAACGACTGGAATGCATACCGATACGAGATATGCAGAGGATTGGAGTTCTTAGAATGCAATCAGTAAAAAAGATAAAAATTTTAAAAGATTATCGACCAGAAAGCTACACAACGACGAGATTGACGGCTTGATAAAGCCGGAATCCGAAAGGCAATATTTCCCTGAAACTCAACTCAGCCCTAGGCCAAAAAGTTTTTCGGCCACTCTCGGGTTGAGATTCATCAATTAAAAGCAATACTGCGGAACGACTGGAATGCATATAGCCAGGAGAGAACATTCTTTAAAATGGATAAAATACTGTCATATCCAAGTGCAGAGGATTCGAGTTCTCAGAATGCAATCAGTAAAAGATAAAAATTGTACAATTCTAGGAAACCGTACAGTAGAATAGACCAGAAAGCTACACAACAATGAGATTGACTGCTTGATAAAGCCTGAATTCGAAAAGCAATGTTTCCCTGAAACTCAACTCAACCCTAAACTGCAAAAGTATTTCGGCACTGTCGAGTTAAATTGGGTTGAATTGAGTTTGGGGACCCAATCAAGCACTTTGCCAAGAAGAAACCAGCTGTCAGCGTTCTTATTACTACGATTGGTTATCGACCTAAAGTAATACAGTGCTGTCATAGTCTGCAGGTACACTTATCAAAATAGCTGAAAATACAGATATTTCAGCGAACGCAATCAGTAAAAGATAGAAATTGCATGAGACCAGAAAGAGGGCTAGAAAATGACCCTATTGACAGCTCGATAAAGTCTGAAGCCGAAAGGTAATATTTGCCTCAAACTCCACTCAACCCTAAATTCAAAAATTTTCCAGCGCTATCGAGTTGAATTGGGTTGAATTGAGTTTGGGGATCAAATCCAAGACTCTGCCATGAAGAAACTAGCAGTATGCGTCATATTGCTTCCATGGGTTATCCATCCAAAGTAATACAGTACTGTCATTATCTGTGGGTACACTTATCAAAATAGCTGAAAATACTGATATTTCTCCGAATGGAAGATTACACTTCTCAGAATGGAATGAGTAAAAGATAGAAATTGTAAGAGACCAGAAAGCTGGAAAACGACCTTATTGACAGCTTGATCAAGCCCCAATCCGATAAGCAATATTTGCCTCAAACTCAAGCCTAAACTCAAAAATTTTTCCAGCACTATCCAGTTGAATTGGGTTGAATTGAGTTTGGGGACCTAGTCCAGGACTCTGCCATGAAGAAACTAGCAGTATGCGTCATATTGCTTCCAAGGGTTATCCATTCAAAATAATATAGTACTGTCATTATCTGCGGGTACAGTTGTCAAAATAGCTGAAATAGTGATATTTCAGCGAACGCAATCAGTAAAAGATGGAAATTGTATGAGACCAGAGAGCTGGAAAACGACCTTATTGACAGCTTTGATCAAGGCCGAATCCGATAAGCAATATTTGCCTCAAACTCAAGCCTAAACTCAAAAGTTTTTCCGGCACTATCGAGTTGAATTGAGTTTGGGGACCTAATCCAGGACTCTGCCAAGAAGGAACCAGCAGTATGCGTCATATTGCTTCCAAGGGTTATCCATTCAAAATAATATAGTACTGTCATTATCTGCGGGTACAGTTGTCAAAATAGCTGAAATAGTGATATTTCAGCGAACGCAATCAGTAAAAGATAGAAATTGCATGAGACCAGAAAAAGAGCTGGAAAACGACCCCATTGATAGATAAAGCCTGAAGCCGAAAGGTAATATTTGCCTCCAACTCTACTCAACCCTCAATTCAAAAATTTTACGGGCACTATCCAGTTGAATTGAGTTTGGGGACCTAATCCAGGACTCTGCCAAGAAGAAAGCAGCAGTATGCGTCATATTGCTTCCATGGGTTATCCATCCAAAGTAATACAGTACTGTCATTATCTGTGGGTACACTTATCAAAATAGCTGAAAATACTGATATTTCTCCGAATGGAAGATTACACTTCTCAGAATGGAATGAGTAAAAGATAGAAATTGTAAGAGACCAGAAAGCTGGAAAACGACCTTATTGACAGCTTGATCAAGCCCCAATCCGATAAGCAATATTTGCCTCAAACTCAAGCCTAAACTCAAAAGTTTTTCCGGCACTATCGAGTTGAATTGAGTTTAGGGACCTGATCCAGGACTCTGCCATGAAGAAACTAGCAGTATGCGTCATATTGCTTCCAAGGGTTATCCATCCAAAGTAATACTGTACTGTACTGTCATTATCTGTGGGTACACTTATCAAAATAGCTGAAAATACTGATATTTCTTCGAATGGAAGATTACACTTCTTACAATGGAACTAGTAAAAGATGGAAATTGTATGAGACCAGAGAACTGGAAAACGACCTTATTGACAGCTTGATCAAGGCCCCAATCCGATAAGCAATATTTGCCTGCAACTCCTCTCGACCCTAAACTGCAAAAGTATTTTGGGCCACTCTGGAGTTAAAGCTGAAAATGTTGCCTATTTGGTAGATAATGAGCCATTTTGCATGACTCTGCCATAAACCAGCAGAAAGTACCATTCTATTTCTGGTGGTCCATGTCCAATCCTTCCTTGTTTATCATGACGCCATGTTGTTCATCAACAAACAAACAAACCATCGCGTAAACAGCTGTAAACCGGTCCGGACCGGACTGGACCGAACTGGACTGGACTCTATTGTCCCTAGAGGTAAGGAAAAGGTGGAGACTGTATAAACAATCAGCGTGCAAACGCTGATTGGTCAAGTCGCATACTATGGCATATGGTGCAACCAGCGACTAGGGTACCACCATTGTCCATCTTCTAGCCGACCTGGTATGCCAGGGGATGGCCTTGCCTACTATACTGAACACTATAAAATAGCGAGACCCTTGAATATCCCGGTACGGACCAACCAGTCAACTAACGTGCCAACTCTGCTAGAAGAAGCTCTTGCTCGTCGACATTTTGTAAGGGCAAAATTGGAAATTGTCTCCTACTCTTTGGCCATGATTGTATCATGGCTAAAGAGATTGAATGATGTTATTGCTATATTAATGCATAGATGATACTTGAGCAGTGGATGTCGATCTGCAGTATCGATTCTTACCTTTCGATGCGTCGGTATTGATCGTCGGAAAATGCGTATGGATGGAAAAGGAGATTGTTTCTCCATCCATTGCAATACTGTTGGATGGATTTGCTTCCATCAATCATGGTAATATCATTTTGCAATTTTCTATCTTTTGCATGACTATAGCTCAATTCTGCTAAGAAATGGCTAGCTCGAAAGGTCCACTTGTGGGTGCAATTGATCAGGGAACATCCAGTTCTCGTTTTATGGTAAGTCGAAAATGGATAACGAGTGCATACATTGCATTGCTAACCTTTTTCCATACTGTACAACGATAGCAGGGGGCAATGTTGTCATGATGAAATCATCATATCGTCCATTCCCACCATCAATAAGATAAATTCAACTAAAATGACTGCGTTGGATCAATGCTGTCATCAGCTTGATTCATACATTGATGGCACCAACATGGAGTAGGTGCAAAAAAACAAAAAAAAAACTCATTCAACCAACGTACAAATCTTAACTTGCAATGGAAATTCAATTCAATCACTTAAGTCGTAATGAAGTCATTATCCCATTTGGCCTATTTCAACCGATTGCATGCCAAACTAGATAAATAGACGTAGGAACATTTTTACCGACAGCCCCACAGTATAGCCTGGCCTAATTACAATGACTTGTTGGTAGTGGATTGAAAAATCAAGACGTTCATTTTAGTTCAAATGGACAGCAACTAGCACCGAGTAGGATGATCGTATCTCAGTCTGATGCAAATAACAAGTATAGCAACTACTGGACGATGGAGAAGATGTAAACCCGATCCATAGTTGACCTAGGGATAGGCAAAAATCTTTTGCCGATGCAAATAACAAGTATAGTAACTACTGGACGATGGAGAAAGATGTAAACCCGATCCATAGTTGACCTAGGGATAGGCAAAAATCTTTTTGCCGATGCAAATAACAAGTATAGTAACTATTGGACGATGGAGAAGATGCAAATCCGATCCATAGTTGACCTAGGGATAGACAAAAATCTTTTTGCCCATACAAATAACAAGTATAGCAACTACTAGACGATGGAGAAAGATGCAAACCCGATCCATAGTTGATCTAGGGATAGGCAAGAATCTTTTTGCCCATGCCATTCTTTCATACAGCAACTTGAGTCCATTTTGGGCAACCTGACAAAGCATTTCCCTTGTCGACTGTATGCCTTCCATTCAATTTGCTAAAATCCTTTTATATTTTTTCTTTCAAGCTTACACCATGATATAAATTCATTATACTTGTGATCCAATGCAAGCGACATTATTCTTCGCAAATGATATTTTTAACCCTATGCAACGCAGGGAATTGTGAATGTACAAAGCATACAGTTTTACCGAGGAGAAATGATATTTTTCTCCGTAGTAAACAACGGATACAATTGATGTTGACATTCCACACTATTTCCAGGTTCCTTGTCTAGGTGAATAATCATCAATTTTTGACATCACTCGAGAGAGAGAGAGATACACGTCCAATCCCAATCCAGTCGTCCATTTTCCTACAGAACGCCTACATGGAATAAAACTAAAATAGACTGTCAAGTGTTGCATACTAAGGCGCACCACATTGATATCGCCAAGTCTTCCACTTTTACCCCTTTTCATATTGTACGTGTTATTGGATAGGCTTGCCAATCGTTCATCATTGCCCTTTGTACAGCATCATGCAAAGTCTACTCATAATTACAATTGGAATAATTCCTACAAAATTACTCCAATGATGTATTCAATCCAAATGTTAGTCGCCAATACGATACTTTGAGGCTGTATCGAAAATGCAGAAAGAGCTTACAACATATGCTGCGAGATGCTTAAGTCCACTGTTGACTGACCTTTCCTACAACATTCATCATCAATCGATGCAATGCAATGGACAGTCTTGTAGAAAGGGAAATTAGTTTAGCAGTAGTATCGCCATCATGGTCAACGAACGACTCTATTTCAAGTCAAGCAAACATGAAAATTGTGAAATGCAACTGAATGATTATTATACTATGGAGGCTGCAATCAGTCCATTTTTATCATTTGCCACTATTCAAATAAGTTTGTAAACGGTTGTATACATGATAGAAGCAATGAACAATTCCAAACATCGTGTAGTCTACTGCATTCAATTGGCCTTCATGAACAGATGTTATATTTACTTAATTACCGTCTATCGGTAAGCAAACCCGCCATAATTTGCATTCTATGTCAAGCTTGTACCTCAAATCAAACCTTGCAACACAAACGATAAATAAAACACTGGACACACTTGTCCATAAATCAATTCACGCTATCATCAATTTTATATCTGCAAATAACCAATACTAGTATTTAGACTGATGTGAAGCCATATTTTGAGAGAGATTCCAATGGATTGAATTATTATTCTTTAAAGCATTAAACTTAAACAGTCTACATGATTACTTGTTGATGACCTCTCAAGGATCATCATAAGTCTAATAGGCTTATTGGATTCGTTGCCATCAACCATTATAATTATCCTGTTGAAGGAATAACCCTAATCATAATTTTGAGCGTTAATGTAGATCGATTGCATCCATTGAATAGTAGCATACTTCAACTATCCAGGGAGTTTGCTTCATGGATGCGTTGATCAATCCATACTTTTCTGCTCGTTTCAAGTCATACCATTCAATATGCACAATTTGCAAGATTATATTTTGTACAAAAGATTGTAAACACGTAAAATGAATATGTTCATATTTATAGCAAATTAACCCTTGGTATAGGGTCGAATTTTATTGGATTAATAGATTCTTCATCATCAATCGTTTGAGCCATTGATGTAAAAACTGAAAGAGATGACAGCAGCTATCGGCATATTCATTCTAATTTATTGAAATAAATTGACATGATTAAGCCGAATGTTGGAGATCAAGACCTTGTTAACTAATCAATTTGATAAATAACGACTTTATCTAAATTTTAGTACTTTGGCGATAGCATAAAACTCCAATAGAAGGATATTTTAGCTTATAGGTTGAACTTGTCCTATCCATATAGAATGACTTTTTTCGCTTTAAATGAACTAAATGATATCACGTAGGGGAGATGTCAATAGACTATACTTCGTTTCTTAACGAACTTTGAACGATTTAGTTTTTGAGCAATCTCTGATTTTCTTCTTTTGTTTACCCAAGACGACATTTTGACTGTATATTTTGGATAAAATGTCTTGAATATTTTGTAAGTTTTTCTTTTTATGTCCTACATTCAGTCATCACAATTGATCAATATTTTATCCAAAGTGTACAATTTAATTCCTGAACGAATAGCATCAATAAATTGCTATAATTTATTGACATTGTATAATGGACTACGAAAAGCCTCCTTCTACTGATCCTCAAAAGTAGTAATTGCAAAGACATTACTTTCTAGTTATACTCTTTTCGGCTCAATATGGATAATTTTTAGTCGAAAGCATTTTTATTATATCTCATCAAAGGAAGGAAAAGATGTCATCATGAGCAACTTTTTGTTTTCTTTCATAGATATTCCCTGCCAATTCACAAGAGGTTATTAGTATCACGCAGATGGAAATTAAACAAATGTTTCCACGCGAAGGGTATGGCCTTATTGATAAACAATTCTTTAAAAAAATATTATAAACTCGCAAGTTACCTACTATATTACTAAGAATGTTTTCTATTGCATATGCTAACTATGTTCAAGAATAAATGATTCCTTATAATACTGCATCTTTTTATTTTATAAAAATATTATAACTCGTGATAGCATATCTTTGCTAGGCACAGTAGTGTACAATAAAATACCAGCAACTTAGTAATACATTACACAACTCTAATGGCGTTTAAAGAATGTACAGTAGTATAAGCAATGGTTTATAGTTGAAATCGATCAATAAAGTTGTTCATGTCCGCATATCTTAATTTTAGCTATACTCTAATTCACTTTTTACTGCTTATTTCCCTTTGAAATAGTACAGTAATAATAAGAATTGTACATTACTGTTGATGTTACGGCTATGTTGATGAAGTAGTAGTCAAGAATTGACTTTGATTTATTAGCAAAACGTGAAGCAATTCGTAATTTGTAATTTCTTCCATCATTTATTCCCTATCAATATCAATGCAATACTGGAATTATTATAACTATTATACCTAAACATATCTCTTTTTAGATGGTGTGAGGAAGATCCCGTAGAAATATTAGAATCAGTTCAAAAATGCATTAGTGACGCTGCCGATAAGTGCAATGAACTTAATATTGACTTATCGCAAATCAAAGCTATTGGAATTACGAATCAACGCGAAACTACTATCGTTTGGGATAAATTTACCGGAAAGCCACTATATAATGCAGTTGGTAAATTAATGCTTCTTTGGGATAATATTAATATAGTTTTGATTCATTGGCTAAGTGGATAATCAATGAAAATACTGATAGACAAATTTATTATTGCAGTTTGGTTAGATACGCGAACATCGACAACAGTTGACAAATTAGTAGACAAAGCACCGACCAAGAAAGCGGATTATCTGCAGGTTTTTATCATAATGTACTGCACTATTTATATATTGTACTGATCCATTGATTACTCTAATCTTCCATGATTTAAATAGAAAAAATGTGGTCTGCCAATCAGTACGTATTTTAGTGCTGTAAAATTAAGATGGCTAATTGATAACTGTGAAGAAGTGAGAAAAGCTATCGCCGAAGATCGTTGCATGTTTGGCACAGTTGATTGCTGGCTTATCTGGGTTAGAACAACTGAATAATTACTTTATCGTTTAACTGCATAATTGTGATGATAGTTTCATCGGTGTGGTTGCAACAACTGAATAATTACTTTATCGTTTAACTGCATAATTGTGATGATTGTTTCATCGGTGTGGTTGCAATAACTGAATAATTACTTTATCGTTTAACTGCATAATTGTGATGACTGTTTATTCAGTTGTTGCAATAATTACTTTATATTTTAACTGCATAATTGTGATGATTGTTCATCGGTGTGATTGCAGCAACTGAATAATTACTTTATCGTTTAACTGCATAATTGTGATGATTGTTTCATCGGTGTACTTGTACATTAATGCCGGTGATATTCTAAACACTAGAATCTAACTGGTGGACCAAATGGTGGCCGCCACTATACGGATGTATCGAATGCTAGTCGCACTATGTTAATGAATATAGCAACACAGGAGTGGGATCCGGAACTTTGCGAGTAAGAGTCAGTTGAATGAGGGATTTCTTTCGTTGCAAGATATCTTAAATAATACTATGAACGGAAAAAATCTTAGATTTCTCGGTGTACCACAAAGTGTCTTGCCTGAAATTAAGAGCTCTGCTGAAATTTACGGATATATGGTCTGATATATGATCACTTACCTGAAATGCTAATTACAATGACTTATTTTGATAATCAATCTGTATACTCAACTTTGATGTAGGCTGAAGGACCTATGAAGGGAATTCCTGTTTCTGGAGTATGTAAACGAAAGCTATTTTGCCAAAACGTCCCACAGTAATTTTTTCTATAAAATGAAGTAAAATATTCAACATGACTAATAATGATCATTACTATTGTATTGCAGTGCCTTGGAGATCAACAAGCTGCTTTAGTTGGCCAATGCTGTCTACAAAAAGGCTTAGCAAAAAATACGTCAGTAATTACTTTTATAATAATATTATTCGATGTCTGTTTTACGCACTTTAAGTAACGTGTATCAAACAAAAATTAAGAAATTGTCGGATAATTGAAAATGCGATCATTTGCTAGACGCATATAATTTTATATAATTTTGCTATATAGTTATGGTACTGGGTGTTTCCTCCTTTATAACACCGGAACGGAGGTACAATTTATGCGGTTGTGTTTTCTGTGATATGTAGTCCGCGTAAATGTTGACTTCTTAAAATGAACTGAGAAAAATTTGTCTACGATTACACTAATAGCTGATATTCTCTGAACACGGACTGCTAACAACAGTAGCTTATAAAATGGGAGCTGATCAGCCGACGTACTATGCACTAGAAGTAAAATTTCCTTTAATTTTAACAAGAGTTTCAATTTTTAGTTACTAAGTAACTTTGAAAGCTTGAAAAGTCTACAATAATCTTATTCATTTTTACAAGGGGTCTGTAGCTATCGCCGGTGCAGTTATTCGATGGTTGCGCGATAATCTTGGAATTATTAAAGATGCCGCCGACTCTGGTTCGTAATACAGTCGCAATTAGGAAAATAATTCAAACAATGTCAATAATAGAATTCGATGTTTTACAGAGGATCTAGCCCGGGAAGTTGTTGACTCAGGAGATGTTTACTTTGTACCTGCTTTTTCTGGCTTATTTGCTCCATATTGGAGACAAGATGCAAGAGGGTAAAAGGTGTAAAACTAAAATTTACCTGGCAATACGAAAGCTTAAAACTGTCCATTCTTTGTAAATCCTTAACAGAGTAATTGTGGGTTTAACGCAATACACCAACAAGTGCCACTTAGCACGCGCTGCAATTGAAGCTGTCTGCTTTCAAACAAGAGAGGTTAACCTACTAAATTTGAAGATAAACATCTTTTAATTCAAACAATTTGCAATTAAACTGTGTTGTATGTCAAATGTTTTGTCTAGCTACTGGAAGCTATGAATAATGACTCTGGTATCCCTCTTAAAACATTAAGAGTTGACGGTGGCATGACCGCAAATAAATTGATGTTGCAAATACAGTCCAATCTGTTAGGCATTCCAGTCGGTAAGACAGTCTTCGTTTAATGTCTGGCCCTATTATAACCCTTTAATATTGTTGATCTCTGAATAACATCAGTTCGAGCACCCATGCCAGAAACTACCGCATTAGGAGCTGCTGCTGCAGCTGGAGCAGCTAAAGGAGTTGATGTATGGAACTTAGAGGCCATGAAGGAAGCACCAGGAGAAGAGTATTTACCTTCTATACCTATTGCAGGTACAGATTTTAATATTTTTACAACTACTAGATCGCTGACCTTTTCCATGGTACAGTAGTTACCTCGATTTAACTTAAAACTTTTGTGTAAATTTTGTATTACAGACAGCAACCTTTTGTACGGTCGTTGGAAGTTGGCCGTTCAAAGATCAATGAACTGGGTAGAGAAAAGTACTTCTGATTAAATATAATATCCTCCTTCACTACACCCTGCCTTTAGAGAATTTTTTTACAGTGTTGATTCACTGCAGTAAATTATTTCGCCTCAATTGTTCGCTTTTAATTTAATTGAAACAACTTGATCCTAAAATAGAATCGTTTAAATGAAGATACACATACTGTGTTGATCAATTTCTTGGCCAATAAAATTTGAAATTTAATCTAAGAGTGTTTGAAACAGATTTCTAATATATAATTGAACATGCCATAATTTAATTTGATGTCTAGATGCCCTAATATTGTTTGGCTGGATGATTGCAAAATACACTGTTTTACTTTGTTGACCTTTAATTATATTATTGGTGCTGTCTGATTAGACTTGCTGCGCTATTTGCTACTAGAGAGCTATTCAAAAAATTAATAAAAAGCAACTAAGCTGAAAATGTGTGACTGGATGGACTATCTCTCTTAAATCCATTGGTTCTTCATAACGTAGCATGCTATCATCCTGAAATGTCTAAAATCGTAAGCTCTGCACGTCTTACAAATGCAGACATGCAAGCACTTGGTGACTAACGAAATTTTTAACGAAAACAATTTCTTTTTGGTTAATTGCATATAATTATAGTTTGCTACGTAATTAACCCTAAATTACGTTTACCGTACTACAGTATATCACGAGATAATCACCATTGCTGAAGAATGCATTTTATTCATCATATAATAGTTTACATTAATCATAGGTACAGCATTTTTATATTTATTGGGAAACGTTTGCAAGCCTCCGTGCAGTTGTTTGTTAATAGAGTATACTTATTCACTTTATAAAATTATACAATTCTTCGGCACACGAGATTTTCCAATAGTATTACTAATTATACTAAGGCCATCTTGATGGATATAATTTTCATCTATCAACTACAAATGGAATAGAGCCATTCGCAACTTCAGTAAGATCAAGGTTAAGAAAATTTTCTTACAACTAGACCATGTTAAATCGTTTTCACTTTCTAACATTACTAATAAAGTACGTAAATGGTTCAATAGCTAGTCGAATTGATTAGTTTTTTGGTCGTCAACTTACCTCAATTAATGTGCTTTTAAGTCTCCTGATATTCTCTAAAACCTCAAAATCATTACCAGCATGGTATGCTGACCAACATTTATCTGCTGTAGCTAATATTTCCTGAAATGATTGAAACTGTCCTTCAATAAGTTCTTGATCATTGCTGGAAAAATCGCTTAATTTATTCTCAACGATGCTTTCATACTAATAATACAAAACATAAGAGCATGCTATATTAAAATCAATGCGTTCGAATGTTTTATGATTTTACAATTTTAACTGTTTACTTATTAATTTTTTTAACAATGATATCCTACCTTTGAGACTAAGGCATTAATTAGTGGGTAAAATATTTCATCATCGTAAATAATAGATTCAATATCTTGCTCAACATCGCTGTCTTCATCGATTTCTTCATTGCAGATTAATTTTCCTATAAGTTTTGCTACTTCATGATCAGGCTCTACATAAAAATCAGTTGATTTCCTTGTTTCTGGCTCTATTGCTACATCTTCATCTTCTTCTATGATCGATTCTAGCAGACTTCCCTATATTACCGGTACAGCATTTCAAAATTATTTCTATCATTAATTTAGAATAGAAACGCTGTAATTGTATTAACAATATTGCAGACAGGAGCTATAATAAATATGTAAACCATAGTTTCTATACACCATTAGAAAAGTCGACTAGCTTGTAAGAAATACAAGATTTACTTCTAATTATTTTAAGCTGACCTTATGGTGATGAGAATTAGAAGTTTTCTCTTTTCGATGTTTTTTGCGGTGTTTCTTACCATCTTTTCGTTTACTATGGCCATGACGATGGCTACGATGTTTCTTCTTTGTATTCTCTACTGATGTGCTTACTTCCTCTTCTTCTTCATCACGAAAACCTTGGCCAATTGATTCTGATTCCAAATCGTTAGCATTAGTACTTGTATCATTTTGACAACGATCCTGCTTATTTTGAGTAATGTCCACGCTTGAAAAATCTTCTTTTAACATATCAGTATTTATGGTGTCTTTGTACGATGAATGCTTTATTAGCATATTATCATCATTCACTTCCTTACTGTACTTTTCTCGCTCAATCAGCTTAATCTCAGAATCATGGTTGCTTTCTTTCGGCTGTTCAGTACAACTATCTTGATTATTGCATTGAGGCAATAGCAAGGCAGCAGTAGAAACCATCTCATCGTTACCATTCTGCTTTTCCCCCTTCATAAGCGATGATACCCGTATATCCGCCGTGGAAGGGAAGATTGTTTCTGTTTCTTTATGTACCTGATGTGGGTTAGCATGCACATTCTCTATCTTCTCTCTTTCCAATTGGTTTTGTTTTTGATCGATGTAGGAACTCTTGACAGCTTTTTTTGCTGAAGCGATGGCACTTTCTTTCTTGATCTTCATGTCTTGAACATAAGATTCTAACTTCAAATCCATCCCAAAATCTAAGTTTCCTTCTTTCTTCATAGTCTTTGCATTAGGACCAATATTAGTTGGTAATTTCTGTTCCCCAACTTTATTAGATGCTTCATTCATTAATTCTACATTAATGTCTACATTTTCGATGTCATTATTCTCACTATCCTCAGCAACATTCGAAACTGGGTTATTCTTGGATGCATCATCAACTGCAAGATTAGAACTAATATGCAATGGCTTATTATTCTCAGCCTCTTTTGCCTTTTGAAATTTTTGATTGCTTGGCTTCTGGTCTCGTAGGTTAATGTTAGGATTGATTTCATTTCCAATTGAGCCATCCCTCCTATCATCAATCTGTACCTTAATAGTATTCTCAATCCGTATTTCTGCCTTGATATTCGATTCTTTCTCTTCTTGTACCCTGGTATCACCTACTTCCTGATTTGAATTTTCATTTTGAATTTGAGAGATTTTTATAAAGTTATTTGTATTAACGCCTTTTTGCCCATAGTTTGTGTCTTCTTGTCTATCATTTATTCCGACAGTGTTGCTTCCTTCGGAAGTTTGAGATTGGGATTTTCCTAACGCCTTATTTCTAATCTCGTCATCGATCTTGTCCACCATATGAATTGGCTGTAGATATTGATTCCTGTCTATATCATTAGAAGCTTCACTATGTTGAAGTATGTCTGATTCCAAGGACGAATGAGTAATATTGGCATTACTTGAAATTTCTCTGCTGATTTGTACAACGGACTTGGCAGACTCATTTATTCCTGTTGAACAGAACGTAAAGATATTCAATCAATATTAGCATCACTATTCTTTATAGCAGCAAGATACTTTAGCTATTCTTGACTAGTTTGATTACCTTGAACTTCATAAACTACATCATCATGAACTGAAGTATTCTCGATCGAAGAATTATCTATGCAGGAACCGAGTGGGCAGGGTTGATAATCGTCTTTAAAATCATCTACATTAATACCTTCTCCTGAGATCATAGTCTGATATGCTATTCTATTTGCACTAGTATTAGGGATGGTAGAGGGAATATTTCTAATAAATTTAGTAGAATTTGCAGGTGAAGCTGAAAGGGTAAATTCTTGTTTAGACTGTAGATCTCTATCAATTTGATGCCGAACTAATTCTACTCCATCCGAACGTTCTTTATCTTGGCCTAAGAATTGCTCTTCTTTGCCCTCATCATGATCGGTTAAAGATTTCTGTTCCCATCTTACTTGATTAACGTCCTTATTAGGCTCGGATCCATTCATTATTTCAGCTGCATCATTGGAAATTATAGTAGGACTTGCAAGATTTCTATCATAGTTTAGCTCGGTACAGGTATGTTTAGAAGCTGAAGGGACACATTTTTCTAAATTTTCGCTTCTTAAGGTAGGAAGATCAGCGATGTTTGCATTTCGCAGATTCTCGATCCAATTGTTCGTAGAAGGCATGTGGCTTTTTGTCTCAGCTGATGCTGGATCTGCCGGTGCAGATTGAATTAATTCCTTGGATAGTTCTGTTCCATTGCTGTAGCTATCGCAGCTCGATTTCTCTGAAAGATCCTTTTTATGGAAGCTCGTCATTGGAACTTGCTTCTGATTTTCCTGTTCAAGGCGATATTCTCCATGGTGAATGCCTTGATAACTTGGTAGCTGTTCTGTAGTCAATTTGATCGAATCTAGAAACTTTGGCAATAAATCTGCTTTTGGAGTACTTTCAAGTTTATTACTCTTACTATCCAGGGGGATTATAGGGATATTGCGATCAACTGGCGATATTGCAATATTGCTATCGGCATCTCTCACATCTGCTACACAGGAATTATGTTTTACTGGCCGATTTCTGGTATCCTCTAATGTACTAATATCGCTGTTTATCAACGCTATCAATTGCTCTGATTTATCCATAGTTTGAACTAAATTGTTTACTACCTTCGTACTGTCCTCCTTTGCGAAATTGCGATGTAAGTTGTCTTGATCTTGACCATCATTGTTGCTTAAAGTATTCATAATCCCTGGCTGATCTTCGCTTGCAGCTAAAGTAGAATTTAAGTTCTTTAAATTAGATGTTTCTGCAATTACGGAGATTGTGGCTAGTTCATTTGGATTGCTAGGACTATTAGAATTAAAATTCTCGCCATCCATCACTTCATGAGCACAATTAACTATCTCTTTTTCACGGATTGGTATTCCAGTTTCATCGTTAACTGCGGACTTCTTGAAATGATTACCGATCGATTTTTCTACTCCATTGGAATAGTTTTGATCCGCATTAGCACTTTGGACACCATTTATGCTTCTGTTCTTGTTATCATGGATACTTGGATTCTTTTTATCCAGTAGATTATTACTACCGATTGATTCTCCTTTCTTGATTAGTTTATTCTTAATATATAGCAGCATCTCATTATGACTCGGTGGGTGATCTTTATTTTGAACTACTTTAGATGGCATAACATTACCAGCTGATGTAGACTTTTTCTTGTAATGAGAAGCATCAGAATAAGTGCGAATTCTTGCTTTGAGAATCTCATTAGCCTGCTTGGCTAAACGACCTCCATTGGCAGTATTCTCAACATTTGCCTTACTTTTCAACTTATTCTCATTCTTGTTACTTAATCGATTTTGGCTCCTATCAATACCGGTACCTTTCTTGTGTCTTTCCATCATCATTTTAGATTCTAAATTGACTGGAACATGAGGTAATTTTTTAACCATTTTTGATTTCTGAGTCATGCTGTCTTCTTCTTCTTCTTGAAGTATAGAACTACCTGAGACAGAGGATAACTTTTTCATTCCTTTCGATTTAGGCTTATTCTCATCGATTTGTTCGGTCTTGTTGATTTGTTTCAGTGAATTTAAAATGGTCAAATACTGCTTAGCATCTACCTTTGAAATTTCTTGAGATTTTGGCAAAACACAAGTTTCATTTTCGTGCGGAGTAAGCTTGATATCATGGTTTACATTAGCCTCTAATAAATTGATCTCTTTCGCTGGCTGAATGAACGAATTCGATTGATGTTGTTGCTCTGACTTGATGTCATCTTGCACGTTAAGAAGAACTTCTTTTCCCTTATCTTTCATCTCTAAATTTTGTATTTCGTTCACTTTAAGGCTGCTTTCGAAAGTGTTCTCCAATGCACTGCCTTGGCTAGAATCATTGGTATTGATATTCTTACTTCCATAATTGTGGGTATCCACTTCTAGAGAGTCTCGCACAGATTCTTTTCTGTCCTCATTTTGCAATAGAATACTCGTATCGTCATTTTGCGTTATTTCTTCCAAGAGCAACGAACTTGAAGACTCGTGAGCTTGAACAACATCTTTCCGATAGTTCTCCCTTTCATTTTCCTCCGACTCCACTTCTAGATAGCCTTGCACAATTTCTTCTCTGTCCCCATTTTGTAATTGAGTATCATCATTTTGCGTTATTTCTTCCAAGAGCAACGAACTTGAAGACGCGTGAGCATGAACAGTATCTTTCCGATAGCTCTCCCTTTCACTTTCCTCCGACTCCACTTCTGGACAGTCTCGCACACTTTCTTCTCTGTCCTCATTTTGTAATAGAATATCATCATTTTGCGTTATTTCTTCCAAGAGCAACGAACTTGAAGACGGGTGAGCATGAACAACTTCTTTCCGATAGTTCTCCCTTTCACTTCCCTCCAAGACATGACTTGGCTTTTCTAAAAGATTTCCTTCTTCTCTATCATGTTCTGTGCCATTATCAGTATTTTCAAGATCATTTACAGGGTATACAGCCTGACGATCACTATTCTCTAATTTAGATTGAAGATGCTTCTGAGAACTAGTTAATGCTATTTTACTAGCTAGTGTTTTTTTCTCATTATTATTCTTACTTATACCTACTGCAGGGGTAGACTGCTTTGCGTTATTATCTTGACTTTTCTCAAGATTTAAACTTTTATAGTTTTTATTAAACGTTCGCTTTTTCTCCCTGTTAGACAAGTGTTCTTGTTTTCGCTGTATTTCTCGATCAAATGCCTTGATATTCACTTTCTTGCCTGCATTTAGAGATAAATTTCTTGGCTTATTCTCACCTTGAGTTTTCCCGGTGCCGTTTTGTCTTTTCAGCGGTAATTTATGAACTGTATTTTCTCTCGGTTTGTCTTGTAAAGTCTTTTCTTCTTCTATTTGAATAATTTTTTCATAGATTTTATGCCATTTTACCTTAAGATTTTCTTTCTTTCCTTCAGCCTTTTCACCGGTAGTTCTCTTATTCAATGGAGTTGTTAGAGTATCGGTGGACTGAACGCTATCTTGCCTTCCTTTCTTGCTCTTGCTATCGATCAATTTATTGGGGATTTTGTATTTACTGGTAGCATTCTGAACTGGAACAACCGTCTTAGACGTATACTCTTTCTTTCTCTGCAATTTGACATCTTGATTTCCTTGATGCTTTGGATTCTTCAAGATTGGCTCTTCGTTGCTGACTTTTCGATGTCCTTGGCTGCCCTTAAATGGCGTTTTCCGTCCATTCGCTGCTACTCTCTTTGCAGTATTGGTATTCGTTTTATTCTTGGCCGAATCTTTAGCGTTGATTTCCTTGTTTGTATTATTCGATAAAGGATCTTTTCCTTCATTTTCCTCCATTTGAAAGGATTCTTGAATTTTCTTCGTGGTTTTTTCAGGGGTTTTAACTGCCGAAATATCACTACAATCGGAATGATCGATTTCATTCGTCATTTTAACATTATCAATTTCAATTCCATCTCTTCTAGTTGTAGGCTTTGCCGCAATAAGAGACTGACATTCTTCTCCAGTATCGGTAAGATCTTGAATTTTATTTTGTTTAGGGTCTGCTTCTGCTTGATATTTACTTTTTAAATCTGTGTCGACATAACTTTGGATATCATTCTGCTGATCAATATCCTTATGCGAATCAAGAGATTTTGGTCTATTCTGAATAGATGGCTGATTCTCATTTTTCTCTGTATTGCTTGCTGTTAGCAAGAAATATTGATTATGTCTTTCACCGTTTTGATGGCTGATAGTTTGAAATACGGGATCATTTCTATTAGGATCTTCTTCGTCATCTTTACTGATATTCTGTTGAATTTTCTCTATGAAAACTTCCTTAAGATATTGATTACTGCCTTCATGAATAGTTCCATCATGATCTTGCTTTGTGAACATAGGAGCTCTACTTACATAGCAGCGGTTCCCGTCCATATCATTACTTTCTACTGGTGTTAATGAATCTCTATTTGCTGGTAAAGGGGAATAACCATGATAAACTGCCCTAGTATATCTTTTAAATGGTATATCTGTCATTTTCGACGAGTAAAATCCATCCATACTGTGAGGCATAAGTAGTTCCTGATTGAAAATACTTTCATACATGGCATCATAGAAGGTTTGTCTGGCATCCTTATGAACGTAGCAATGAAATGCCCACATGTTGTGTTCCTTTCTCCACTTTTGCCCAGGGAAAAGTGTTCCATTTTGCTTCGATATTTTGCCGTCGGCAATGGAACTTTTCTCTAAAAGTTAGTATAAAATACGATAGGTAGCAGTTCATTAATAGAATTCCTTCAGCCTTTAAACTAGTTAATAATGGCAATATTAAGTGATACTGCCAAATAAATGCCATGGAAAAATAGCGATCAAAATATCGTTTCTGTCTTACTGTATCTCAGCCAAATCAATTTATACTATTCAAATAGGAGAAAGTACGGTAGACTATGTTGGCTATCATTCGTGTCTATCCATATTATCAATTCTAGAATATGATTGAAAGAAAAATGATTCCATTTGGCTAAAGAATATTAGGTTTACTCTATCGCTCGTCGAAATCATATTCTGTTCAGATGGTACGTGATCAAAAATTTAAAAGCACTCCATGTCTCTACATAATGGCGGTAATATTTCCAATTCTTCGTTAGAGATAGTAAATTTGGGGTATGATGGCAATAATAAGTATTGAAAGTGCAACAGTAGAATGGAGTAAAGATGATGAGATGTAGAATAGTCTTTTATGCTTAATAAAGTAATTTTGGATCAAGATGGCCAGCATAATGCAATAGTGTGCTTGTCCGATTCCTACTCTGTTTGTAAAAGGCAGTAGCAGACAGCTATGTAAAGTTCTGTTTTTATATAACAGACTAATATGTTTCTTAAATTCTGAGTATGGTAGAGGAGTATTAAATTGTATTTTAATTAAGTTATATGGAATATTCTTGTAGAATTGGAAAAGGTTCAAAGTGGTTTTAACCAATTTATGTTCCATTAATTTCACATTTTTTTTTAATCTAAATCAACATCAAATGTCGTACAGTATCCAAATATCCAGTTGATATGACCAGCAAGTTGTAGATACTATTCTATTAAATCAACATGATTCTAAATTGATATCCAGTATCTTATGCAAATATCAAGTCAACATGATGATAAGTTTCAGACAATCTTCTATCAAAATCTATCACTTATATTGATATCAACTATTTATATCAACTATTAACTCTTTCTTCTACGCGTAAATCACCACTCACGTACAGTAATATAATTAGTAGATACATTTTTTTAAATACTACTTTCTATCCAATCCTCCGTTTAAATTGATATCCAGCATAGTATTGAAACTTCGCGTAGACTATTAGATATGATCGCGCAGTTTCACAACTTTGCCGAAAAGTATTGAACATCACTATTAGTCTAAGCAATACGAACAGCCATTAATCCAATAGGGTTACTGTAGCCCATCATCATACTTTTAACACGCTGTTGCTATACTGGGGTGTAGATGAAAAAGGAATAGAATAAAAAATAGACAGTAATTGTTGGCTAACAATATAAAATTGCTACCGTCTCTTAAATAAACCCGCAATAGAAAAAATAGCACTATGATTGTCTACGAACAAAGCGGACGAAAACTGATATAGCGTAAACTTGTCAGTGCAATCACAACTAGGACTAAATAGAAATCTAATTTAGCGCCATTACTCTTTAACATTTCTTTACCTAAACTACTGTACGCTACTTATTCAATTTCCTAATTTATAATGAATAAAATGAATGCGTTTAAATACCGTTGGTCTAACAAGATGAACTAAAGACAACCAAAATCACGTATGTAACAATCTTGTTATTGAAGGACAACAAGTGACCAAAATCATTCTAGTATATTATCACAGTCATCAATATTCAATCATAATAAATCCTAGCGTATATTCAATCATCATAAAAATTAAGATTATTAGTCCAAAATTAAAATAATCCATCCTTTCATACAGTAACTATTCTAGTGCCAAAAGGCGAGCAAGATATCAAATTCAATCCAAACTATCCTTTCTAAGCCTAACCAAATCAATAAGTATTCGCTTCTCTTCGATATAGGTATAATAGCATCTACTATTGCTGTCCTACCTTGTTGGTGTTCGACTTGCCGTTGAAAATAAGAAGCAGCAAATTGGTATAAATCGCTTGGTTGATAATATAGGCAATGTAAACTGAAATCAACTAGTAATTTCCGCAATTGAGTAGGGGCACGAAAATGAATCTTATCATAATCTGACATGGATAAACTTTTTCAAATAGATGATCATGAAAGATTTAAATAAAGAAATAAATCAAGTCTTTCATAGAATAAATACTTTAAGAAAAATGATTCAAGTTAATTCTGATAGGAAAATATGGGAATAGTCATCAAATAAACTATTCAGTCTACTTGTCTACTTATATAGCAAATACGTTGGAAGCAAAGACGAAATCTTTTCCTTTTGGGTTTCCAACATGCCTGAATCTCGGTCGTATATACCACTGTCAGTTTTCATAAAATAACTTGATTATTATAACGTCAAATGAATAAATCATTTTGATTGTAGTGCCTTTAATATCTTGTTTTGATGGTGTTTTAGTATGAATGCTAGAGTAGTGAGTAAATAAGAAGAATTCATAATAATCGGATTGGAACTACCAAGTCACAGCGGCAGTCCGCCATTATAGCTTAAGGGAACAATAGGCGTTAGTGCCCTGCTGTTGGAAAGAACTGGACTGCTAAGAGACTGATCATGAAATTCAATAATACAATTGCTAGTAAATAATATAACACTATTAGTAAATAACTGAACTATTCTAACCACTGGTATGTTCATAGATGAAAATCAGTAGGGAAGTAAAGTATTCATTGACACTATAGTAAATCTTACGATAATCGTGTGGTACTTCATGTAGGTAATTTTACAAAAAGGAAAGACTAAATATCACCATTTATTGAATTTCAATTACCGCAGCAAAATGTAGATATAAGGAGAATCATACTGGTAGTAATTATGATCGTGATTGTCCTATCTTAATACTGATTTGTACATATACAGTAGACAAACAAATTATACGTTGAAAAATAATTTATAATGGCGCAGTATTATGTATTTTCATTATACTAGATTTTTCTTCTCTATTACGGATCCTATATTCAACTTAAAATTTGCTTCATAAAGTCATGAAATTTCCCCAAGATAATTCTCGGAGATATTACCGAATCATGAATTAATATGCTCTTCCTAAATGAAATGTTATAATTTGTCAAAAAAATACCATCCAGAAATGTTATAGAGCCGATGAAAACATAGCAACAACTGTTATATTAAAGTAATTGGTTATACTAGTAATTTTTGTACCAACTGTTTTGTTATACCTAAGCTACAATATTCTACACGTCTAACTTAGCCGTCCTAGTTAAATATAAGAGATATAGGATAAAATCGCGTAGTATCAATACCTATTGTACATCTAACTTACGACTATTCGTCTGCTAGATATACGTTCCAGTTAATTAATCACGGAACGATAACTAGAGAGTGCAGGTAGTATATCAAGGTTAACATAGGCACATATGTTCATTTTATCGCATTTTAAAATTTAGATCAGTAAAAGAGAATTGGACAGATTAAATAATTATAAGCGGATTTAATGGTTTGTTCGCTTTCTCAGTCTATATCAAAATCTAAGCAATTGAAAAGATGTGAACAAATTAGTCGCTAGTCAATTATTTGCAGATTATCGATATACCTATCGGGTTTCCAAATTAAAATTGAAGCAAATCAAAAGAGTTGGATAGATTAATAGATAATGATTATAAGCAGATTTTGTAAATGCGATAGATTACGCTTCGCTTACATCTCAATTCGTTAAACGTGATAAAGAATTATATGCGATGTTTACGAAACACTGTTCTAAGTTAACTTGACTTAATCCTTTTTCATTCGTAATTTATAGCATATCTACATTTTTAGTCATTTACTGACAGCTATCAATAGGCATGTCAGCGATAGATAATGTGTTAGTTTTATGAAAATCCGGAGATTGTCACGATTCATTACTACATACTTAACGATAGCGGTAAAATTAAATTCTGCATTTTCATTTTTGGAAGTAGACTATCCATACTTATTTCTTAATACCGCAATGATTTATCTTCGGGATTCATGTAACATTATGAAGTAAATAGCGTGATAAAATTCTGAATTTAATTCTGGGATATGTGCAGATATTCTTAATTTATCTCAATCTATACCTTGTCGTGTAATTTTCGATATGAATGCCTTAATTATAAATCACACGTAGCATCGCCCAATATCACCGTAATTTACGTATAGTGCCCAAAGCAAAGCTCTTAAATGCTTTAATTTATGATGCAATTTACAGTAATTGCCACTGATCACGGAAGAATATTGGATGATCATCTTTGTAAGATAAGGGATTCCATTAACATCCTATATACGTATCTTATAATATGTAGGTAGTCCCAATTTCTCTTATTATCCCACATAGTAATAGATTAAAATTAATTATTTCTGAATTTTTTCATATACCTGATTGAAGGAGAATAACGTAAAACTATAGTCTACCGCTACGCTTCGGTATCTGGCAGGGCGAGATTAAAATAATTAATTAGGTAGCCTTACGATCTTCTTTTGATCCTGTGCTGCAGCAAATTAAAATTATTCATTTCTCTACTTCCTAATATAAATTGAGCGATAATGACATAAAATAATAAACTTTATTTCAATATCAGAACGAGAATAAAATAATCATGGAACAATTTAAAATCTTACGATCTTATTATAATATAGAGGTAGCCTTAACTCTCCTAATAATTCTACACTATATTAAAGCTACTCTTTTCTGAATATCTCTACATACAGTAAATTGAACGATAGCGGCATAAAACTTTAGATCTTGCTTCAGCAAGGTACCGTATCTGTTAGTACAAGAATGAAAATTACAATATGTTCGTGCATATAGACTGAATAGAGCAAAACCCAAGCAATATCTTTTTATTCTGGCATAAACTCGTAAGATGAATTTATTACCACATATCAAATCGAATTAAAAATATCAACATAAGCCTATTTAGTAATCAACAGTACCTATAAACCATATACATATTACCAAAGTTTTTTACAGGACAATATTATGTGCTTAACGCACACAATTACAGAAGCAAAAGCAGGTTGCTAAAAATTGTTGACGTATTATAACGAAAATAATACATAGTAGTAGGAAATTATCGCTAGTTTCAGATAAATTAATTCAAGAATAATGACCTGCAATTGGTATATACATAGGCCCAGAAATAACTCTTCTGTTACTAATGAATATTTTACGTAGCGACTGTCAAAATTTGCTTTTCTACAAATATTATACAAAATGGTACTCATAGGTATAACAGTGATATTAGCTTAATCATTTAAAAGTAAATAATGAGAAAATAATTAACTTAAAGCCTAAATAGCGCCTAGTATGAGATGAAATACAACCATGAAATTTCACTTTGAACGTATCAAATACGTAGATGTTTGTGGTAGATATTTGTACCACAAGTTTATTCCATTATTAAGTAAACCAATCCATGGTTGAAAAATTCTGCTTTTTTCTAGATCATTATTACATGTATAGCAGATAGAAATGCAGCTATTGATCATATCTTAATGAAGTAAAACTAACAATGATTTTAATGGGGTAATGTGATCAAGTTAAATGGATGATTGATAGCTTTTTGAAATATCACGTTTATTCTATTATAGCGAAAGTGATCAATAACAGCGATGCACGTAAAGTGTAGTATTGATTAACTATAGTGGATTAATAGTTGAAATCATAAAATGTAACGCCTGGCAAGGATCGTCTTACTCTATTTAGAATATTTGTACAAGGATCATACTTAAAATAATGTAGATATGCCAGATAATATTATCGTCTACATCTTTCAACCGCTATTAATCATATGGGTATTTCAGATAATATTGCTATCTAGATTTCTTAGAACTACCGTTAATTCATTTCTTGTTATAAATGAATCACCATGGAAAGCTTCAGATAGCCTCATGTTTTGCAGTTCTGCAACATTTGATAATAGAAATGCACCTAAAAACCTTGTAATAATTATATAATAGCAATAAATAAGATTGTCCGAGTATTTAATTTAGTTTATCTTAGTCCTAGGTGATATACAGGATGAGAAGGAAGTTCATCAGTGATATATGCAATTGAGGGATAACAATGTCCAATTATCAACTACCGTAGTGTCTTAACATGTTAGAGTTGGGTGGGTACCATGATTATTACTAATAATAATATCTTGTAGGATAAATGCAGCCATATCTTACTTTGCAAGAGCCATGGTTGGTTATAATAGTGTACAATATTCTGCTGGAAGCTGACTATGGCCAATCACTTCGGTAATAATATTTTGACACTTATCATGGAAATAATATCTACAACTGTTTAACAGCTAAGAATAAAACAGAGAAACTATGAGAAAAGCATACAATAAATAAAACTATATAAATTATATCAACCAATCACTTCGTAAAAGATAAAGCTGCTACTTGTCATAAACAAGATAGATAAACTATTTAAATGGCAATAGCCAGTAGTCTAGATAAATAAAATGTCGAATATTATACATAAACAAAGACACATAATTGGTAGCCTATCAATAGAACTTGAAATTTATATACGATAAATTAATATGTAACGTTAGTTTAGCAAAAGATATTAAGTAGACTGTGACTGATATATTACTTTAGTGTTGTAAAAGCTGATAGATAGATTCGATGTCTTTATGAAGTAGATATATAGTCAATTACACTACTAGAACGTCTTAGTTAAAGTAAAGTACAATTTTCTAGGCATAAATGGCTTCTATTAAACGCCGGCAATCATAATTACCTCTTGCAGTTCAGCTTGAATTTTCTTTGCTTTTTGAAATTGGACAATTTCGTTGCTAATACCATCCGTGGCGATGTAATTATCTGTAGCCTCTCGAATATTGCTAATTAAATCTAGCTGTTCCTTGATTGTGTCATACTTATCTAATGATAAGTTATGATTTTGATCTTGGATAATTTCTTGATACTGTATAAAAAAATCGAATATCAATTAACAATTCAAGAATATTGATCAAGAATTTTAGTCTATAGTAGATTTAGTAAGGTCATCATGAAGAGACTGGTTAAAAAGCACTAACGCTAATTTATCGCAACTTATCTAATAGCAATTAAACTAATATCGGCTTTCCTTTCCTATATAATTCAATACTAGCCAACGAAGGTAGATTTACACAGGAAGAGGACAATGATTATCGATAAACATTTTGCCTATATACAGTAAATGGCTAATATTACCAATACTAATATTCTACTATATTAAATCCATATTTTTGATCTGATAAATGTAAAAATAAACAATGATACCCACGATGTTAAGAATCAATTACCTGATTTTGTAAAGTTACCAATAAAGGATAAAAGCCTTCCTCATCAGCCAAGTTCGTCTCAATTAAATTAAAGACTTTAGTGTTACCAGTTATGTCTTCTTCTTTGACCAGTAGCTTTAATAATTTTATTACTGAGCTACTAAGTTGAAAATCAAAGAATACATCAGGGTGTTCAGCTGGTGCCACTGAATTATTTTCAATTTTCACTAATTCTTCCTGTATGATAATATCATCCTCTTCATTCTGATGTTAATAGAATATTTAAAGACATCAAAATAAGGATTTAGAAATAAATATTTAATGCAATCCATTATACGCGTATGTTAAACTTCTGCGTCTGTGAAAATTGTAGGATACCGTAGTTAAATTGCTAAATATTGCATTTAATGTAATATCTAGCAAAAATTGTCTAAAAGTGGTCGCATTAATTTTGCTAAATTATATAGCATACAAATATAGCATTAAGAATTAGCTAAACTATTTTATAATATTTTACCATTTTCAAAAAGTATGAAAATGAATATGAATTAAATGTATAATGCACTTGATTAAAAACTATATTTTTGTTCTCTAAAGAGTTTTAGGACATTGTGGCTCGAATTACTATACATAATTATATAGAATATAGCGCCTAAAAGAATTGGTTAAAAGTAATCGTATACTCGTATTACAATATTTCTAAATTATTTCGTATGCGACGATCGTATTAATAATTACTCTTTATTTTCTTTAGAAGAAATGAATTACCAGCACTAATTTCTCTACTATCCTCCAACGTCTATCCTACCCGTTAATAATTATTCTAGAAATTTTTACACTCATAAAGTCTTTATAGTTATCAAAGTAGTTTGATGACATTTTACAATATATAATAACCTTATCCATAGGCGGAATAGAATCTTCATGCTTATGATTGGATTTTTTCGTTTTCTTCTTGGATTCCTTATTGGATTTACTTTTTTTATGCTTTCTACCCTTTTTCTTTTTCTTTTTCTCATCATGTTCATCACAGCTCGATTCACTATCTTTACCTAAACAGCCTGATACCCAATCGCTATCATCCACACTTAAAAAGTGAGCATTTACCGCTGACACGGAATTAGTTACGTCTTTTTGCTTAGCCGGATTATTTTCATCTTCTGAACTAGTAGGTGATAAACTACTTTGCTTGTCTTCACGATTTTGCCTTATTCTCTCCCGTCGCTCTTTGGATCGTTTACTTTTAGCTTTTTGATTTCGTCGATGATACGGATTCATGGCTCTATTATGGCGTTTCTTCCGATCGCCACTATCTGGTGCTGTAATTATTATTCGAGGTAAAGTTTGTTTCGGTTCACTACCTTTTTCCTCATGATCATCACTGGATGTGGATTTTGCATCAATCCGTTCTTGGTTATTTTCTATTGAAGAATCCCTATTTAAATTTCTGAATCTTTCAATATAACGAGGATCACTTGTGGTCATTCGTCTTCGTTGATTTTCTGGTGCTTTCACATCATCATTCGGTGATTCTTCCCTTCCTGTCGCTAACGATAGACTATTTGCCCTTTTGGAACGTAGCTGGAAACTGGATTGCGATGTAAATTGACTAAAGAAATCAGCTACTTCATATTTGGATATTTTACCCGTTGTTTTCGCTTCTTCTAGATCAGTAACAGGAGATGTTGGTTTCTGACTCTCCTGATCAGTAACAGGCGATGTTGGTTTCTGGATCTCTTGATCGGAAACTGGAGCTGATGATAATTCTTGAGCTGGTGTAGGTGGTGGTGGCGCTGGTAATTTAGGATATTCATTATTTCCTAGTGACTCGCTTTCTGATAATTTATTTTGCTCTATTAGGACATTTGGTGGACTTGGAGCTGATGTTTCTCCAGGCGATTGAACAGGCGATGATGGAGCAGTAGTAAATACTGAGGATGCTCCAGTATGAGACTCGATCATTATGGATGGAGGACTCTGAATTCGTGACTCTGCAGCCACTTCCGATATCTCAAAATTGTCCATCATTGCTAAAGGAGAAGTAAAATTGGAAGACTCTTTTATTTCAAATGGTGTCGATGGTGGCGTTACAAACACAGGAGAAACTGGAGATTCGATTGGTGATGTTGGTAAAGCCATACCATCGGAAGCAACAGAAGAGATGGAAGTTGTCGATGATGTCGGTCTTGATGGAGATACATTCTTAACAGCTAAATCAATACTGGGTAATTTTCTACTTCGACCAATTTTAGGTATTGATGTAGTCTTGTTATTAGTAAGGGTAGAATTATTATTATTAATAGTACTATTTGAATTAGTGTTATTAGATACCGAGCCAAGTTTCTGATTATTTTGATTATCATTACTGCTGGACTGATCTTCATTCTGGTGACTATGACTTAAATTATTGGGAGTATTCTGGTTGGCCTTGCTATCATTAACTGCCGGTATAGCATTATCCGTATGATGAAAGCTAGACTGATCGCTATATGCAATTTTAATTGTAGTCGAATTTGGTTTATCATTACTAACATTGATATTACTGCTATCAGCAGTAGCATGATTGCTATTATGAGAATTAGCTGATTTTGCAGATTGAAGATGATCACCAATAATATTGTTCATCTTGTCATTAACATGATTTCCGTTACCATTTGAGTGGATAAGTTCATTAGCAAGGCTATCCTTGTGGCTGGTAGCATGTTTGGCGTTGTTATTAGTATTGGCAGAACTATCTACTTTCGTTGCACCAGAAGTTACAATTTCCTGCCGTTGACTTGAACTATCAACAGATTGAGTTAGCACGGTTATGGATGAGTAGCCATCGGTTCTTGTTAACGGTAATTTTTTAACTTCCTGACCATTCTGATAGGAAGCCTGACGAACTACTCTAGAATGTTTATGAGTAGAATTGACTTTGCTATCGCTATCTGCTTGTTCATTTGTGGCTTTAACTACTTCATTACTCGTATTTAAATTAGGATTTGCATTATTGCTAGCGGCCTTTGTCATTAACTTGCTATCTCGATTAGCATTCTTAATCTCGTTAAATCTCCTAGTTATATCTTCAGTCCTTCGACGATGTTCTGATGCTCGATTACTTGCTTGTGTTGCACTGGCTATTGCCGATGCCGTTGCTGAAGTTGGAGATACTATCGTTGTTGTAGTATTTGCTGTGGATGCTGCTGTCGTTGTTGTCGCCTTGCTTATTAGATTACCAAAAACTCTCTGTTTTAACTCATCAGCTGATGATACTGATGTACTCTCTATAGAAGCTTTAATATTTCGATTGCTACTATTTCGCCGCTTAAGACTTTTATAAACTTGTTTCATATCAATTTGTAAAGTAGATGATGACTTTTTATCACTCCCTAAATTAATAGTTATATTTTTTAATTCATTGCTGGATTTTGATCTACCATCTAATGCATAAGAAGATCGTCGTTTCGTTACAGAATTGTTAACCCCTAAGTGATCAGATGTCTTCTTGCTACCTAAACTTTTACTATTGTTGGATACTGTAACATCAGTCGATGATCCTTCTTTACGCCTTTTTTTCAACGAATCACGATCCACTGTTAACCAGTTATCCTTAGTACTACTGGCAGCTGATATAGTCAATCCAGTCGATGAAGACAATCTACTGGGATTGGTTGCATTAGTGGTATTGGTCGCTCCTGATCCTAACGAATTGGATAGATTGATTTTAAGATCTTTCCAATCGTGACCAGAACCGTTACGCTTAGGTAAGCGCAAGGTATCAGTTTGATCGAGATGTTGCTTTTTTCTCAAAACTGAAACATCGAACGATACCCGCCGAGTTTTCTCAATACTTTTACCATATTTTTTCTTAATTTGTTCAATAGAAAGCTTAGTAGGATCACTCTTAGTAGCATTGCGTAAATCATGAAAAGCGCTTGTTGATCGCAGGTTTTTTTCAGCTGATTCTGTTTTGCTTATTTCAACTTTATCATTGGACGCAATCACTTCCTGCAATGCTTTTATTTTCTTGCCACTGGCGGCTAATGGTCTATGTGTTGCTTTAGGAGTTGGTGGCTGAACAACAACTGGAATAGAAACTCGACGAAGACTATCTTGAGTAGTTTCCGAAGTGCCTGTTGTCCCATTTTGATTTATATCATTTCTACTTTGATCACCATGCTTAAATGTCTCTTGATCGATAGTAATGGCATGCGATAGTTTGCGTGTTGGTCGATCTAGAATTGTAGATGGTCTGGAGTTGATTGTAGAACCTTGGCGGTCATTGGTATTATTCTCTTGACTTCCTTTTGAGCTTGTAGATGTTGAAACTGCATCAAAGGATGAATTACTGGCTTTAGCTCTTTGGCCATCACTATTATGCTGTGTTTCTTGTTCACTATTAGTCTAATAAGAAATCAAGAGATACTATAATATACTAAGTAAACTTTAAAAGGGATAAAAAAAGATTTCTAATTTGTCCTAGAGGAAAAAGTAGCCCATTTAACTTCATGCGTCTTGCTATACCTTAATTAATATTTATATTTAAAATAACAACCGTGATAGCTATGTCATCAAGTCAGATTATATTTATTTATCAAGTTGTAGTCAAGATTATTAATAATTATAATATAATTATATCATTGATCATATCATTAATACGGACATATCGCTATAAAATTTCTAAAAATGATTTATAGTTTTTAAGCTGCTACTGATACTACTTATACCGCAAACATGGTATAAAGTATAGCGATACTGTAATTAAAACCACAACCTTGTTATCTGTGCCTTCAAATCAGACTATATTTATCGAATTGTAGTCAAGATTATTATTCATTATAATGCAATTTACAGTATTTAGTAGCTATTGATACTACTTATATAACAAGCATGACATAAAGTATATATGACTAGGATGTTCAAACACTTCTTTTTTTTCTCATCAGTATTGCTGAAGGCATTAACGTATACATTACCTTTACTGGAGCGGTCTTAATATGGGCTTCAATATCATCATTAATATCGAAATCTAAATGATCGGATAAGCCTCTAGTGACAATTTGAGCTACTTCCATGTCGTCAAAAGTGATATCATCGCTATTATTACTCAATACCGAAGTGATTGCACGATGCAAGCGATCCTGTTGATATCAATTTGAATAATTACTAACTAATTACTAGGCAGAATTTTGCTTTACTTTCAAATTGCCCTTGCAAATAATATATTTGCAAAATCTAATTCAAAATTAGCGTTTACTCTAAAACCTTTAATTTAATCGCATTAATAGAAAACAATTATCTTTGTAATTGTGGTACCTTTTTGCCTGGAAGACCAATCGGAACTGCCTGATCGCCATCTGACTCCTTGATTGTCACTATAGGTGGCTAAAAGAAGAATTTATTTTTCAACAGAGATTTATTTTTATATTTTTGTTAATGTTTTCCGGAAAAGTAATACAGACTGTTGTATTAACTCAATATTCTGCTTGTCAATTTGGCATACATAATAGAAAGATCAATAGATATATAATAAGATTACATATTTTTATTAATGGACATCAAAATTATACCATAAATCTAATTATGACTGTCGGCAAGGTACTACGGATTATTGGTAACTACCGTAACTTCTACTTGTCAATTTCGCAAGTTAAACTTTATACCTATTCGTAACGTCAATCGATGTAATTAAAATGTTCTTATTAATATGCGCGTCAACGTGATATATGATTACATAATCTAATTATGCCTTTCAGTAAAGTACTATAGATTATTGCATTAATCAACTTCTACTTAGCAATTTCGTAAGTTAAAATTTATACCTAATTTTAAGATCAAGCGATATAATTTAAATTTTTGTAATAATACGCGTCAAAGTGATACTATAAATCTAAGTATGCCTTTCAGTACGGTAGCACAGATTAGCTGTATTAACTAACTTTCTACTTATCACTTTATAATTTCATATTTAATAGGTAAGATTGGCCGATGATATTAAGATATTTTCATTAATGCGAATCAAACTCATCTATGAATCTAATTGCACCTTTCGGCAAGGTAATAGAGACTGTTAGTAAAACGAAATTAATTATATGCCCTATTGTTCAATGTTGGTATAAATTCTGTTTATCATTCAAAATATAACCCTTAGTGTTAGAGCTTTTTGAAATTTTCGCCTTGAATCGGCTTAATTTTTTTCCTGTCAATTTTTTAAGCTACAACTTCATACCGGTACTTAATAGCAAGATCAATCGATAAAATTCCAACATTTTTCTCCACGTATATAAAAATGTTGCTATTACTGCTTTAATTTATTGCTACCGATTAATAATCTACGAGTAAAACCAATTTAAATGGAGATGCCACGATAATTAAACCGTTTTCAGCCTTACCCGATTAGGAACATTATATTCTAGACCATTCTTATTCCTTGTAATCTTCTTATTTGATCTAGGCGAATCTCGATTCGGAATCGATGAATTTCTATCGAATTTTCGATAATTATGGGTAGAAGAATTGTCTTGATCTGCACTATTATCAATTTCATCACCCTCATTGGGCGTAGGTGAATCAACGCTTTTACTCCATTTTAGTTGTTGAGGTCTTTCATTCTTTTCACTACGACCCCAGTCAAAGCTACGATTTTGCCGGATCAATTGGTTTTTAATGGCTTTCTGGACAATCTTGTCGAACTTTCCATTTTCTACAAAGTACATTTTAGAATATGTTAGCTTTGATAGATTAGTTTATTGGTATCGACTACATCAACATTTCTTAGGTGTCTTATATATGTAACCTTAATAATTATGCGTCTGTTAATATTCTTTTTTAATGCGATAATTACAGAAGCAGCATATGTACAGTATAATATAAACGTGAGTGATATCTCCATCTTAAAAATAGTAGCATTCGATATTACGTTTGCCTTCTTATTGCTTCGCAGATAGAATAATAAGTATTGAGCTCGATTGGAAATGAAATCCGCTTGGAATTCATTGTAAAACGTAATTATTCCATTGCTCTGGAATAAATAAGATGTCGATTATCGTTATGCGCGTATTTGTGTGTATAAAAGCGGATTTACGCGCAACCATGAATAAGTAAATGACTTGATCTATTCAAAATAAATTGTCGGACATCGCAATATCTTTCTGATTCTATATTTCATATGACTAATAATAACTCATTATAATTTAACTGAAAATATGAAATCGAATATATGATAAAGGCAGAAGTCATGTAATCCATTAACTAAAGTGATCGGTGTTAAAGAGGAATATTTTCAACGAGAGGTGAAAATATCATCCTACACCAAAGAATGCTTTTGCCGGATTTACCAACCTCCATATCCCTATTTTCATTTTATTTGCCGCTAAATAAATTGACATTATACTAAAGAAAAATTGATTAAGATTAATCATGCAGTAAATACGTGTATGATTGGCCTAGATCTACAAATCATTCATTTTTATTAGAATCAATAATGATAAATTACAGGATTGAACTTAACCTGCCAGTATATATCAGTAAGTGCAAAAATTTGACGAAAGCTACTAGCACCTGAAATTTAGCGCTAATTGGTTTAATCTATCTCGTCTACATCCAGTTTGTTAGTTGTTATTTAGATTTTACAGTAGCTAATGTAGAAATCTCCTTGTTCTCTTCCCCTTTACCTATGAATAACGGTGTTTACTTGAATTTTTATTTTTTTTTAGGTCAACATTTTTTAATTATGAAATAAACAGAATATCCCTAAATCATTTCTATTTTTATTTTTTCTAAGCAGAACTGTCAATACTGTGAATTTTTGCTTTTATGTTTACATTTAACCTTATAATGTTGAATTATTCAATCGCATCTTTAAAAATAGATACAAATTATATAATGGTTATCATCCCTCTTTTATGTATCCGTTATTGTGATGATGCCTTGGAATGCGATCGAGGAAAACAGTTCCAGTCGCTAAGTGCTTTTGTCCTAACATGAAACCGCTCAAAGCTGTGCAATTAATGGAGATCAATTGCTAAAGATATTCATAAGTTGCCAGAAGGCGCAATGCACATTGTACATTCCTTATGATGAAACTTGACACTCGTTGTCAAAAATGACTAAGAAATACTGCAGCTATCATTCTGCTGTACATTATTAAATTAATAATATCATTTAAACGTAATATGTGCTGTAGGGGTAATCAAAACAATCTGTAGGTAAACTACATATATGATGTGGTGGAAATGAGCATAGTTTGAGAATTAACATTCTTGATAGCTTCCATACTGAATTAGAATTATCAGAATGATTAAAAGACAGCAAACTGCGACATAAAAAAACATTTTTAGTGAACTATTCGAGTTTTAAGCAAACTGAACGGCATTCGTGTTTGGGATTGGGGTTAAAAATTGAAACTACTTTTATACCAATTAAGAGGTGGTGAGCTTTAATTCGGACATGATCTAGCAACTCCAATAAGTCGAGAATTGAATTTCTTAATGTCCTTTTATACTTCCGAAGTTAATCTCCTCAGATTTTGACTATTTTTTATCCTCTTGAAAAAATGCTACAAGAAAGTATTTGACGACTCTCTTTGATTTATTTAATCAAAAATCAAGGTTTATATTGAGTAACGGTAACAAATTTATAGCACGATAATAAATTTTTAGCGTCTGCAGTCTTATAGCTTAAATATCGATTTTCTTCCTGTTGTTATAGGCCTAAGAAATAGGCGCCTATTTCATTGCAATCCCTACCGCAATAATTTAAATTTTTTTGATGCTACATGTTACGAATAATCTTATTCACGTCATTTAAGTTAACGATAATAGCGTTCAAAAATGTATTATCTGTAGTGGTAATCCATTGAAGAAGATTCAAGAGGAAAATCTATTTCGTCTTCTGTAAATTTTAAATTACTATCGGCCAGACTAGAGACACCAAATCAGCAGGCGTGCAAGATGAGTTGATTCCTCATAAAGGTTAATTTCATAGCATTCCAATAGCTGTATCTACTGATGCAATTATTAGCGGAGCTCGTTTATCTATCTGTGTGTTACTAGCCATAAATTATGTTTTGATATATTCCTACAGTATATTAAGTAACAGATGTGATTATAAAAATTTGCCGTAACACTGCACCGTAACTACTGGGTAGTATAACAAGACCGAGGTAGTGTTTTCTGTATGCAATTTTGGTCGATCAATTTTTATATTTTTAGCTTATAATGCACTCTTACTTGAAAGTGAAATCATCCCTCATAAACTACAATGAGCAACAAAAATACCGTAAGATGATAAAATTCCATGGGGATGTTGTACAACTATAATATAACTTCAAATTACAGGAAACGTAATGTAGTGCAATAGTTCTAAATGCCGCAATCGATTTTTATTCATATCCTATATTCGATTCTACTAAATCCGATTATTGGACTGCCTCTTTTAAAAGCTATTCCAATAATTTTAGTATTATAATTGTCTTTAAGTTTAAAGCTTTTATCACAACATATCGACACTATATATAAAGAATAACATCATTGTTCTTGCTATGAAATTTAATGTATTGCAGACGCATTTTGATTAGAATTAGACGTCGAAAGATCTAGCCTTTCGTAAATTTACTGCTTGTGTATATATATTTGATAGCATAGTACTAAGAGAGTATTCCAGTTAAATGAAGTATCTAACTAGATAATAACATGCATATAATACAGTATAACTGAGCTTTTCGCCATAAAATACCGACATTAATCTAATCATATTATACTTAATTCAAAATATGTTAATTACTCGGAGAATTTTAATGGATATAGATTTAGTTTAAAATATAACATAAATGATTATCAGATAAATTATAGGCTCTAAATAATCTTAGCGAAAAAGTACATAACATATATGCAACTAGGCTTGTTGCTAAAATTGAAATGTGATCTATAACGGTACATTTGGATTTGGCTTAATACTGCAAGTTCCTTCATCAGTATCGCAATAAGTAAAAATATAAATTGTAAACTTTTTGGAATAACTGTAAAATCAGCAATGATTGAAAAGAGTCCTGTTTAATTCTCCACTTAATTAAAATATAATTCTTCAGAATCTCAGTGATCATAGACAATTATTAATCTTAAATTTGCATTGAACGAAATACGCAATGTCGATTGCAAAAAAGAAAAGCATCAAATGCAATTAAAAACTATCAGAGCTAGTCAGTATTTAGTCAGGATTTTGATTAAGAGAAATTACCGTTTTAGTTCTGTCTGTCAAGTATTAAGTAAAAGTTCATATCTTTGCGGTAGTGTCTATTACAAATTGTTAAATTAGCATGTGAATTCATTTTTAAAACATACCTTGCAAGATCGGACTAGGACAAGATGGTGGTACAGGTAGCTGCCTTCTCTTCTTGCTACCGCCATTACTAGTAGCAGTAGTCGGGGACGCTGGAGTATTGCTTGCCATTAGTAATGGCTGATATCAATTTTACTGACGATTCCAAATTCTAAGAAAATTCTTGTTAAAGATCTGATAAATTTGGCATCATTTTCAGTCCTAGCTAGCGGGACAGAAAATAGTCAGACATTACTTAACAATCAACAGAAATCATCACTGAAAATATATATTTGCGTATCATCTATTTTATGAGCAAATTAATCAACAGAATGAAAGTTATTACATCGGAAAACTTATTCGTGTGATAAATAAATATGCCATCGCAGTCAAGACTATCTTATTAAATCCATAGAAATAATGCTGATGCATATTAATATTGGCTACTGCAATCCGCAATTACCGCATCAAAATGTGGAAGCGGCAATTCAGTTTAACTTTTCTATCTTTTTGCTATATCACCCGATACCAAAATGCAATTCATTAATAGCTGATGAAAATCTTAGCATTTGGACTTGGTGTTTATTTTTAAAGCAATAATGGTTTGCGTAAATTAATCAAGTTGATAACCCAAGCGGGCAGATACAATAATATAGCACCTGCGGAAATTGGAGTCCCTTAGCTAGAAATTGAATTTGACTAATTGTAATGAAGATATTTTTAGCTTTTATAGGTTAAGGTTACAGAGAACAAATTGTGGGCTTATAAGGAATGATAGAATATTAATGGGACATCTAAATAAAAATTTAATAATGATGCAGTTTAAGAATTTGCAAATAATGAAACAATAATGCCGTGTTCGACTTATTAAATATAATTGTATATTATTATAATGATTACAAATGCTTTAGAAACTGGAAATCAATCACCTAGAATATCATGAAACAGTATCACGATTGGGGAAAAGACTTACTTCATTATCTGAGATAATGACTTGATATACCGTTAGCTTTATTTTCTGTAAAATTTACATAACACACCATAAACTCCCGATATCATTTAGAACGTTAGAATATAAAATGAACGGCAAATCTAAGTTGCTAAAATATACTACGTTAATGATGGTTTAAAAACATACTTTGCCAAGGTATCTTCCATTAAAGTGATTGTAGAAGTTAAAGCATAGTCGATATTGATCAGTATGAATTAGATTAGCTATTCTTAAAATTAATATCATTTACCCTCATTAACTATAACTACTATTAGGTTAGAAAGAACATATAGTAATGCATTAGCCATAACAGTTTCAAAGGGAGCAAAGCCAAGATACCTTCCATTGGAGTGATTATAGCAGGTAAAGCAAAACAGACGTTGATCATCATCAATTGAATTAGCTACT